GCTTTTAGAAAACTTAAACTAATTTTATGTGATCTCGATTTCATGGTTAGTAACTGACTAACAATTTATGACATTGTTTTGAAGACCAACAATGCATAAGATGAGATGAATGGTAATTTCAATAGCTAGAGATTGCTTTGTTCTTGTGATATAAACAGACTATAAATTCTTAGTTGAAAGCCTCTGAGGAAAGAAAGGAGTCAATTTGACGGTGGAATAAACAGATTTGAAACTAGTGGCTTATAAAACAGGACGATGGTTGAAACATGAAATTCGACTTCATATGCCAGTTTTCGTCAGATAAAACAAATATCAATGTGTCAATTTCTACCATAAAATTCACACTATGACCTAATCTCACAGCCTTAACTTTAATTCACTTTTTCTACAGTTATAAAAGACAAATTTGCTGAAGCCAATCGGTTAATTATTGACAACCAACATGATATTCTATAGTAAGACGAATAAAGTATATTTGGAGCAAGATTTTTATTTTATTCAAGGTTTTGCTAAACGTTTTAACAAGACGCCACAGCGCTGTGCCGTGTCTAGAATACTTCGCTGTTTACGAAGTAAAATGATTTATAATCTTCAAGAAAGAGATAAGAACGTACCTTTATCAATTCTTGAAACCCATAATCCAACTACGTATCCATAATTCAGCGAGATTTAAGTCAGAAATAAACCAAATAGACGCTAAGAAATGTACACAAACCTAGCGAACAAGAATACACCAAACACTCTGATGGTATCCTGCTGGTTATTTAATGAACTCAAATCATGCATTCGAAATTATCGTTATGTGGGTGTCATACAGGGTGTGTCAAAAACAATATAATTTGCATAAGTTTATATTGCAAAAAACATTTCAATATCCGTGCGACTAATTACGCTTCGAATATTTGACGTATTTGACGTATTTGACATTAGAATAACCACACAAAGTTCAATTACAGAATATCCAAGCATGGATTGTGTTCATCTAAAACACTCTGCAGACTTTGTTAATATGCCTTATTACTGAATTTGTCTTGTGTTGGCGAGATCTTCCTCATTGAAAGCTAGGATCCTCCTCGTATGGAAGTGACCAGAGATTTTCTACCGTGCAGATCTATACACAAAATGTGCTGTTTCAAAGCTATTTGTGTAGTCCCAGAAACATAAATGCGCAGTTACGAATTAAATAGAGGATTAGTAAAAAAAGTCTTCATGTAAATTTTAATCAACATCAGAATATCAGTAGCGGACCAAGGCAAGAACCCATGCAGAGAAACTTCATTTACTTTGCCCCGTTTATAGAACAAACATTTTTGGTACATCACGCTTAATTTTTTTCAAGACAGGCCAAAAGAAATTGGCGCCGTAACTAAGCCTGTTTACGCGTTATTTTACTTTTTAGGCCTGAATACCACAAAATTTTAGAAATCACCCAATAGAATATTTTTGGCACCCATGAGCACACCACAGTTGCTATATAAGTCAGCAGATTAACAAAGGACAGATGCATCAATTGAAGCAAATGAACATGCATGGTTTAGTTGACAAAATAAAGGAAATAAAGACAACTTGTTAGATCATCTGGTAATCATGCCATAAAGGCCTTCTAAAAAATTTATCCTTCGAACAAAAAACGAATCTTTTTGCCCGCGTTATAGTGTCGGTATTTTTGCATTTTATAACTTGTTGAATGACTTCAGCACCCTAGGCTTCTATTAAAACATTTGTTTTCGTGTCCAACCAGAGCTTTTCCTGCTGTTCTTTCCCGCCATTTTGCAGTAATTATTTAATCTGCGCATGATCAACAATAAAAAATTGCTGATGAAATCAAAGAACATTCGAGGCAGTCCCTCGCTCAAATCAGATTCAAAATTGCTGATACAACTCAATATTTTCGGCACGGTGTCCATGCTTTGACAGGTCGAGAACATCTTTTAAAGCGGTCTCGACACGGATAAAATTACTATTCTGCGGACTTATATTATGTCTGTTTATAGGACAAAATTTAGGTGTCGTGCCATTTTCTGCCAGCGTGGAAATAATTAATCGTGCCTTGCCAAAAATGCTTGTCGTGTAAACGAGGCTTTAGTCACTGCATAGTCATGGTCAACAATAATATATGGCGGACTATCGCTGACATACGAGAACCAGTGAACTAGGCTTGAAGCCTGGTTTTCATATTGTCAGAGATATGATTAAATATCAAGCAGATATGCACTTGTGTGTACCAGACACTTGCTAAGTCATAATATCCTATTTTAATATTGGATATTAGTTTGCTTACAGATCAAGATAGCTGTGTGTTCGTTTATTACTTAACAAAACAAAGCTCTCCCATTTGTATGCCTTATACAAATATTTCATTCTCATAGAAAATATTCACATCAGCTCGGTCTTCACTCGGGAAATTTATTCCCGCTTCAGGCTACAAATATCTTCCTTCCATACAAAAAAACGAACATTCCCTGCAATGTACATAGTTCTTGTAGTTCCATTAGGGGCGAAACTAGAACGATAATTGGGTGGTGTTTCTGCCCAGTGAACTCTATACAACTGGAACGATAACTACTGACAAACATGCGTATTCACCTTGAAGCCAAAATCGTTTTTCTGAGTTTTGAGGCGAAATACTTGATGCCAGACGTTGGGCTGTGTGTCAAATTAAAGCTATTGAAAAGTTATATTTGGTGTAGAATTTTCAAGACTACAACTACAAAGGAAATATTAAAAAATTAGATATTTGCTTTAAGCTAAAGTTTCGAAATTTCTACACGAAATATAACTTTTTAATAGCTTTAATTTCATACACGGCTCAACATTTGGGGTCAAGTATTTCAGCTCAAAACTATTTTAAGCTATTGCACCTACAAAGGAAATCCGTCGGGCAAAACTGGATATATGAATATTCACTCCCCCCTAATTATCGTTCATATGGTGCATGACGCCACTGAGTTATGTTATCTTTCTTTTTCATCAAACTTCAGGAATAAAATACAGCTAATATAATTACTACAATTTCTACCATTATTTTCATAACCAGCACAATTACTATCAGCACCTTCGTAGACACCAGCACGATCACCACCATCATAGATGAGAATTATCACCACCAACATGACTGTAACTACCATAATGAACATCTTAAACAACACCATCATACGACTGGCATTGGTCACAGTTTTTAAGGACTTGTTTCTTGCAGATGTATTCAAGATATCGTATTTATTTTGTTTAACAAACTGTAACCCCAGTTAGGGAGGCAAGGGAGTGCTATCACTTGCCCAAGGTGAACTCCCAGACAAACGGAGGGAAGGAGGTGTCTTACTTCTCCATTCTAGACCAGCTCCAAGCAAAGTCTAGCCGCTTCCCCAAAACAATGTTCTTGATGATAGTTTTTCATGTAATTGTTCATTAAATTCATTTTAAAATATCCTAACCGAAAAATCAGCTCCAAAACATATGTCGTTCATAACAAAGTCTTTATCAACTAAGTCTTCTACTATTGGTTTTTGTCCTCGTGTGAACGGGTTCATTTCAGTTATTTTTAAGAATAAAACATTCTCATTTAATGGGTATAAATAACCTGGGGGGAACCAAAAATTTAAGAAAATATACAACTTGTGTTTAAATTTTCCTAAAAACATTTTGCGCGAGACGACTTTATTGGGGTTAAAGAAAGGATTGACTATACTGAATCTCGCTAAATATCGTGCAACGAAGAAAGTTCTCGTTGTTTGATATCGTCCAAACAAGCAACTGCCCTTCACTTAATATCGTCAAACAAGGAATTTTCTGGAATAGACAGTCGAAGGAACACCATCTCGCCTTTGTAGTCAGGAAAAGCCAGCATTGTCTCTTTTGGCGAAATTTTAATTCTTTGGATTGACTTATAAGCCTTCAAGTATCGTTGATAGAAATGGTCGAGAATCGCGCCAGAGTACATGTCAAAAAATATATCAGCTGATCACATAAAGTTAATACAATTTCTCTCTTGTGAATAAAAAATGACCTGGTAAACGAATGAACAGAATTGAATTTAGACGCTATATTTTGACAATCACCAGTGTCCAGATCAATTATCTGACTTATATAATCCGGAAAGTCCATGACTATTGCGACTTTGGGGTCATTACTGAAACTTACTGCGACTTTGGAGTTATCATTGAGACTTGCTGCTGATTCACTGCGAAATCTTAAACAATCACGGCGATATAAGACTTCATATGAAGTTGGGTTTTTGTTATTTCTTTTCCAAATATAACATTTATTCTTATTACAACCAGAGATAAAGGCACCACCAGGCGAGATTTCTACTTCCATCTCAGGCTCAGGCTCAATTCCAGGCAAATTGATCATTACAAAACCATCAACATCTCTGACATCGAGAACTTTCACGAGTTCATTGTATCCGAGAGCCAAGCTGACAAAGCCTTCGGAAAAACCAACGTTTGAATCTAGGAAATCAGACCAGCCCTCTAGTCTTAATTCAGACAAGTCGTCTAGCACCACGTCCTGACAGTGAGTAAACAAGATCTTTAGATTGTCATCTACCTGATATCGCGTTAATTTGGGAATCCTGATAAATTCACTAATCACAAACAGGAAATCTTCCGACCACCAGCATAAAAAACTTGACCCGCATTGACTGCTTTTGAAACGTTGTTCAACTTGGCTGGTATAGACATTCCATACGTTGATACATCCATCTGAGTTGCAGGATGCAAGTCGAGAGCCGTCAGGAGAAAACGAACTCTAATAAACGACCGTTGGCTGTGACAGACATGATTGCTCTTGTTTAGGAACTAATGTCTTAAAGACAATTAGTTTTTCAACATCTGAATAGAGCCACAGATTATCTTCTAAAGCAGTCATTTTGTATTGATCAATCAAAATCTTTGAAGGAGTGGCAACAAGATAGTTCCAAGCAACAATCGCAGTTAAAGGAATACTTTCTGTGTCACTCGAATAACAATATTTTTCCGAAGAAAAAATACACTCCACACCTTTGCAGATCCACGGACACGACATTCTAAAGTTTTTCCAACACTTCCTTATTTCTAAGTGTTTAGAATTTGGTTCCTCAAATCCCCGCTGAAAACATCGTTCACATTTCCTACTCTTTAACACAACTGGTTTCTCCCGTCCCCCGTCAGATAATTTTCGCCTATCACTTCTTTGCAATGTGATAGCGTTCCAAACACAGAACGAATAACCCGGATAAGATGAAGATTCTGAATTTGCAATAATAAATAGCCCTGTGACGCTAAAAGAGCACCAACCAACACGAAATCCAGCACAATGCGACGACAGCAGCGTTTGTTTAGCAACGTCCCATACTTTAACGGTGTTTGAACCAACGCTAGTAACCAGTCTTTTGCCGTTAGGGGAAAATGCACAGGACAGGAACGTCTCTTCATTTCCTGGGAAAAATGGATCTTCCTTTCTTCCAGCAATGTTAAACGCCGTTTCCAGTTTACCAAATAATATGCGCGAATCGTCTGGAAAAAATGTGCAGCATGAAATTCTTTTCAATTTTGTTGAATAATTCATAATTCCAACTAAAGTTGGTAGGGATATCACATGGATAAAATTATCTATTCCAACTGCCACACTTTTTTCATCGTTAGATAAAGCAACAGCTGTTATATTATCAAAGTCACTGGGTTTCCAGAATGCTCGCGGCAAAACCGAAACTTCGTAAGAATTCGACTCGACAAAAGGTGAAAGGTTTGATAGTAGCGTCTCAGCGATTTTCTTCTCATCATCGCTGAAATAACCTTCTCGAGAATGTGTAACATGTGCTTGTACCAGGGCAAGTTCAAAAAACTCAAATTCAACGACATGGTACGAAATGCGGGCGCGTAACTCTTCGTTTTTAATCCAGGAACATTGCAGCAATGTGAGCCAGAAACACAGCAATTCACTCGAACCGATTACACTTAACAAATAACATACGATAATAACATCAACTGACCAAAACACACCTTCCTCCATTTCACACTTTTCTAGATGTTTTAAACCATGTTTCAGAGCGTATTCCACATCATTACTAAACTTCACTTCAACTCCTGAGCGAACATTTTCCACAATTTCTTTAAAAACCTTTTCGCATAAAAGCCAAAGCGATCTATGTCCATCATCGACCTTGACAGTATACTGGTGATCTTTGTAGCCCTTTGCTAGAAGCCAATCAATAAAGGATTTGTGAAAAACGGTTAACCTGTTATCTGAAACGTACAACAAGCACGATACGGTTTCATTAATTTTGTTGATGATGTCTTTCGTTTCGCGACAATCTGGAGCAAAACCAAAAGCCTGAGCGACGAAAGCGAGGGGAAGATCTTTTTCGGAAGCAACAAGCATTGCCAAAATATTCAAGACATCGAACTTTTCGTGTTTTATGGCGTAAAGCTCGTCTTCAAGGCGTTTAAAATATCGTTCGTAAACAGAATGCAGACCTTCTGGGAGAAACTCCATGACGTCATTATTTGTTATCTTCTCAAGATCACAGCGAGCCCTTAGCCCAGATTGAAAGTGATATGCATAGAGAAATGAGCCCTGGCATTTGGCAACAAAAATGGAAAGTAAACTAATAGTTTTATTTCGCCGAAAACGGTAAAGATATGGATGATCCTCGTAGAAATCATCGCTCATCTGACTTCCATCCACTTCCCTGCCGACTAAACTTGGAAAACATTCTTTAAAATAAAGTTCCAGATCTGAGTTATTGTTGTAATGAACATTAGAAATGTCTGTCTTTTGATCGCCTCTTATTCTTAGATCAGCAACGGAAATCTCTGGCCTGCTCGTCACCAAGATTTTGATGTACTCGGGAAGCTCAGGAAAATATTCAGCAATCAAATGCGTAATTTCATTCTTGTTATCTGCAGCACTTTCATCCAAGGCATCGTTCACGATTAAACGTTGCTCTTTTATTTCCAATTCATCTAAGGGATTTTGCAAATATATTTGGAAGGCATCTTTGAGGCTTTGGACTTGATGAGGTCGCTTTAACTGATCAAGGAGCTCATTCTTAAACCCAGGGACGCTCTTACACATCTGACTTGCGAGAGACTGCAGCATCACCATAGGATCTCTTAGGTTTGAATCACTGAAATCACAAAAGTGACAAGCTGCCAGCTTTCCATTCTTCTCAAAATCTTCACAGATTTTAGCGGCAAACACGCTTTTACCAAATCCTGGTCCAGCTGTTATTAACTTTATTCTTGAATCGCTGTCACACTTTTGAAACCACTCGTTAATTTCCTTTAACAACCACTCTCTTGTACCAGGAAGGAAAAAATTCACTTTTCCTTTAATTTTACCGTTAAATTTATGCTTAGCGAGTTTTCGCAATAAATCTTCATCACTTTCCATGCAGGATTTTGTTTCAGGATTGGTGTCCCCGGGCATTGATAGCGTACGCTTGGCCAATGAATGGCGCATTTCATATACTGCATCGCGCGTTTCATTTACTGCATCGCGCGTTTCATTTACTGCATCGCGCGTCTCTTCAGCGACTTGTGTTACATTATTTACACCAGCTTCAATTACTTTAAGCAATTTAATACACTCATCTTCGTGCATTTTCCAATCTTTAAGCTTTTGCACATACACTTCTTCTTCAGGCCCAAGAGGACATTTTTCTAAATCGTCGACATCACTCTGTGATACACCCAATTCTACTATCGCCTGGGAAATTTTCCTCCATAAAGATTGAAATGTTGAATTGTCAACTCGAGTTGTTGTTACATGTGCAATAACTTCATTTCTGTAACACTTGATTCTTGTGATATTCGCCTGCGTTGATCTATCAGTATCCGGAGGCATTACACCCCATCCTGTTGATGGAAAACCACAAATGTTCCGGAATAGAACTGTAAGTAATGTGACATCAAAAGTTTTGGAATCTGGTGGGTTGCCAGACGAAGGAAACAGTAAATCCCACTGGGAATTATTAATAACTCGAGGTTTTAACCTTTGAAGAGATCTTTTGTTTTTAGCCAGAACTCCGGGTAGACTAACAGGTGGATGGAGGGTATCAAATGTATTTCTCAAAGCCTCAGTTCCTTTGTCAACTAAAAGTCTACTGAGCCTTGTAAAATTTGCGTTTTCTTGCAGATCGACAGAAGCCATGTCATTGCACGAAGTTGTACTGCAACAAATGGGTGTTAATACCAGATGGGTTTCCTTAAAAAAACCAGGGAGTGTTTCATATATCTAATGCTATTGTGTGAATGGTATTCAGTGATACCACATGGACCGAATGTGCTACGAGGGTAGTATGTCGGGAAATACATTGACAAACGATGAAGCATTATTGTGAACCAAACAGCTGAGAATGCATTCCCTGGCATGCAGAAATAGAATATAAAAAATTGAAATCTTTGCCGAGGCTAAACAACGTATCCACTAGAAGGTGATATTGATTTATTATTATTGAAGCATGACATGCAGTATTAAGCCTGGCGTACACTTGTGAACATCGCACACTTATCACTCGTGGTAATTTCCTAGTCTGGGAGTAGTATTGACATGTTTTGTCGTTCGTGCTTAATTTTACGACACAAATACACAAATGGCAGAATATTTGTTATGTGTGGGTGTTAAGCGCACCAGTGTCCACGAGGCTTAAAGACAAACACAAACAGTAGCATAAAATAATACTCAACCTCAATAAGAATACGAACAAACCATTTAGTTTGAAATATACCAAACGATGCGCAGGTTACGCATCGTGCACGTTTCCGTGAATTGTTGAAACCCTGCTATTAAATAACTTTTAAGGTATAGGTCGAAGAGCCATTAATCAAGAAATGAAATTGATTTGTTTTGCTATTTATGTATTTGTGTATTATTATTTCTTTCCTTGTCTATTGGGTATTGTGTAGTTCAGTCTAATGCATAAGCTATAAGGATACAGTAAGCGGCAATTTTTAATAATCACAAGGACATATATTGACTGAATTAATAACTACAAACTTCATACGTCATTATAAGACCAATAAAATTTACGAATTAACGCAACGAAAGTTACGTTTTCTAAAGTTTAAAAAATTTTAACATGACGTCACAATGCAGTGTGGTAACTAGCCAAGTGCGACCACATTTGTAATTTTTCACCAAAGTTGCTCAAATCTTTTTTAACTGCCCCATAATGTGGATGGTACGCGTAACCGTAAGAATATTTTTGCGTTACGTTTTCAATTTTTTCACGCATCGTGTGGACGGGGCCTCAGTGTTCATGTGTTTGCTGGGTGGATTTCATCTTTGCAGGTTACCTCGAATACACTTGCATTAACTGGTGCTTATTTTATATTAAAATTTAAATATTACGCGAGGTTTAAATTTCCTTGTATATACGCAGGTCAACTCACACGAATGTATGTTTAATTTTTAATGAATAATGGTTCGGGGTACATAAATATTGCTTGTTTCTATCAAGATTCAGGGTCATTTCAATCTCAACTGCATGCTTTGAAAGAAAGACAACGCTGTATCTTTAGTTAGTTCTCTGATAAACACGGTTTATGAAACTTGCACAAGACACGGAGATTTCTTTGCAAGAAAAATATTGCACGTTTTCTGAATGGCGATGACACATACAGTAATACGAATAGACTTGTTTGGTTGTCAACTTCAACAATCTTTAATCTTGTAAACGCGCTTTGGTTTGACTGAGAATTAAAGGTTGTCAACTTTTAATAAGCCAGCTTTTAAATTGTTCCGCGTGGGAAAGATTTTAGAAACAGACAATATTAGAGTCGATGTATAAACAGAGAATGTATGTGTCTAATTCAATTGTTCGTTTGCCTAGAGGCTTAGAATTTCAGCTTCTTGAATTGAATCTTTATACAGAACGCCCAATTCAAACCCTCGAATTCTTATAATTTATTATTCAAAATATTGATTGTATATTAAAATTTTAGGAAATTACTAAAAGATTAAATGATTTAGCTCTGTGCTGCGCCACAGAATAAACACGCGTACTCTTAAAAAAGGAAAGAATATGACCAACGCCGCGACAAAAACTTACCTCTCAAATTTTGAAAGCGGCAAAGATTCGCCAGAAATATAACAAACAGATGTGCGGAAATGAAGACTTGAATCCTAGGAGGAAAAACTTTGTAATTCTCAATGAAATTCAAAACTGCCCTGCACCTTAGAATGCCGTGTGAGTGTTACATAGTTATGGAATTTGTATATTTAGGGGCTCATTTTTATTTCATTTTTTTATACGTCTTGGCCGCGCGATGGAATGTTAGGAATTTTGCCAGTAAAGATTCTAAAATCGAACTTTAATCGTAAATTTCACAAACTTCTAGTCGGAATTTTTCGACAAGGTCGGTATATTTATGATCGGAAAACACGAAATTTTTAGAAAATGCAGAAAACCCGATATCGAAATTTTCATTTCATATACACTTTAAAGAAGTGAGGGATGCTTTTCCAGTATCAGTATCACACAAGACAACAACGCGACGAAGCGCTGTGCAGTGCCAGGCATTTAATAATGCAAGTTTATTACTCGTGCTCTAGGAGAGCGCGAGTCTAGGTTTCGTTGTGTTTCGTTGTGAGTCTAGGTCGCGTTTTAGACCTCGATGACCCAGAATGCAATATGGGTAATTGCTACGAGGAGTGACGGAATGTAACTACCCGACAATACAAGCCACATTTTACAAAGAATACGAAGGATGCAAAATATATAATTACGCACAGAACACATTACTACGGTGCAACGTTTACATATTGCTTGGTGGGATGTTTACTTTTAAATTCCTATATGAAAGCAAGATTTATCATCGATGTTTTGGCAGGCTTAGACGTACAAATGTTTATAAATGATACTTAAATACTTTAAATGTGCCAACTGTCGACTGACACACTTATATGACTATCATACAACTAGTTTTTTGAAGGCTTTCGTCGGAACTAGAACACTGCACTCTTAAGTCGTTAGTCTGTCGATATAATTAAGCATTGATACAGTAATATGTCACGCCGTGCGGATTGTTAGGCTATACCTATAATCGCGGTTCGTATTTGTGAATTGTGATGATGATGTAAATGTATTATTTTTCGAGAATTTATAATGAGTATTACTTGCGTGATTTGTCGACTCAGTCCTGAAAAATCTTAAAACGATTTTCCTAAAAGTTTTATATTGTGAATATTTATTTGCTTTTCGCTCAATAGTCAAATTTCATTTGTAAATTTTTGCCATAATGGTATATATCAAAGTAAAAATCTGAAAATCTTGAGAAGCAGTGCACAACAGCACTCCTTCCTGGTATACTCCATGTATCGAAAGCACAACACTAATATTTTGCAATATATAGACGCATTGCATTCCATCCTCAATGTTTATACAATTGCCATCACTTCAATAACATATAATTATTTTAATGAAATTTAAAGTCAGCCACTTAGCTTTATTATATGGAATCTCTTAATCATATCAAATTGCAACGGAACGTAGCTACATTTATCTCACTGGTAGTTGCTGGTTTGAAAACGCAAGGTCGTTCAAGTTGGTATTTTGTAAAGGACCTTCTGGCAAAAACATGTTGTTATTTTCGGTTTCAGCGCAAAGATTTACATTAAATGCGTAAATTTGGTTAGCAAATGCGGAATGCGGTTGCCTTGCCTAGCCACGCTATGTCCGTCACAAACACACCGCGTTTCTATGTTTTGAAATCCGGTTCATGCTACACAAAAACAGCCTACCTAGCTTAGGTTACTCATTCTACGCTGAGTCTCGAATGTGGACGCTTGCAAGAAAGCAAAGGTTTATGCTACAATTCTATTCGCATTATGAGACAAAAAATTCTATCTTTATTCTACCTCGATCAAAGCTATATCTACGCGCATGATAGTTATAGTTGGTGCGTCTGCAAACCAAAGTAAGTAAATAGATAATACGTTGTTTCAGTTAGCAATTGTCGCGCTAAGTGTTTCGATAAGCGCTGCTAAAATCGGTTTAGTTGTTATATTGTATTGCATGCTAATTCTTAGTTTAATAAGTATATCTCATTTATGTTGATTATCAAGTATACTCGTATTAATTTCATGTGATAGGTTACCATAGTTTGTCTGCTTATCATATTTTAGTTCGAACCGACGCAATATTCTCAATCGACTTATTCGACCCAAACCTGTATATATCCTGTTAATAAATTATCAAAATTCCTACGTCGAGTTCGTTTCATTCTACGCACCGCGTCTACCCCTGTAGATTTATTGGGAACTCGTTCACATTGAATTTCTGTCCCAGTGAAGCTACATTAGTTCGAATTTGATGCATTGTTAAAGGAATTTGAGGAATTTACCCTACGTCAAACCGTTTCGGATTTCGTCGCTGTCATTGCGGTTGTTAAATTTATCTCTACGGATCAATTAACGCATCCTTAGAACGGACACGATTAAATTAAGAACGATTAACGTTAAATACCTATGGCATCCAAACATGAACAACTTCAACAATTGAAGAAAGCGCGCAGTTTGACAAAGGCAAACGTAACCAGAAAATTAAATAAAATTAGGGAATTGATGGACAATTCTGATAATCTGCCGGCTATCAAGGATCTTTTGACCGAATTGCCTGATGTTTTAAATGAATTTCACACGGCGCACAAGGCATATCATTCTCAAATTTGTGACGAAAACGAGTTGCATGACTCCGAAGAATATCGCTACACCGTCGAGCTATCCGTTACAGAGCTCGAGCATGACATCGACGCACTGGTTAAACAAGTGCAACTGAACATTGAAAAGTCATCACATTTCGGACTCCCACAGTCATATTCAGCCAGAAGATTCAATCAGTCAAGTAGGTTCCCGCGTATCGTCTCGTTCAAACTCGTTATGTGGTTCGGCAACAAGTGTGAGCAGTTCGAAAGCGAAAGCCGCTGCGAAGAAGGCTGCCTTAGAATCGCAGGCTAAAACCTTACGTCGTGTCCATCAGCTCGAAATGGAGGAGCTCACCCTGCAACAACGAAAGAAAGAGTTACAGCTGAGCGGAGAAATAGCCGCTGCCGAAGCTGAAAGAGACGTGTACGAGCAAGCCGAGGCCCAAGAGCTTAAGCAATCCGACCCTTTCCTGCTATTAGACGCTCGTACCGGAAGGTCAAAGAATCCCTTCGCAACCGAACCCACAGTGGACAACCAACATCAAAGTATGGAAAATACTCCCAAGATCAATTCGAGGCAGAACTTTGCCAGCAACTCAACATCTACTCCACGTGACGAATCGTTCCGACGAATTGTTGAAATACAAGACCAACAAAGCAACGCCCTCCAACAACTTATCCGCCAACAGCAACAGGGTGTCTTGGCTTTGACTCTGCCCCAACCAAGTATGCCAGTCTTCAGCGGAAACCCTGTCGACTATTGCGATTTCATCCGCTCCTTCGAGCGTCTGATCGAGTCGAAAACCACAAGCCCAAGTGCACGACTCTACTACCTTGTTCAACACACTAGCGGTTCTGTACAGGAACTCATGAAAAGCTGTCTTTCAATGAAAGAGGACGAAGGATACGCAGAAGCTAGAAAACTCCTCAAAGAACGTTATGGAAAGGAGTACCGGGTCGCCGCCGCCCACCTTCAACGGCTGGTCGACGGTCCACCAATCAAGAGCGAAGACGCGAACGCCCTTCAGCAATTCTCGATACAAATAACCAGTTGCACAAACACGCTGGAGAAGATTGGATACCTGCATAAGCTAAAAAACTCGGAAAATCTGAAAAAGATAGTCGAACGCCTACCCTACGCGATGAGAGTCAAATGGCGAGACACAGTAGATCGGATCGTTGAAATAGAAGAGCGCGATGTCACAATAAAGGACATTAACAAATTTGTAACTGCCAAAGCAAGGGCTGCAAATCATGCAGTCTTCGGAAAGATCGCCATAGAGAAACCCAAGCCGCTCAAGCAGAACCAGAGGACATCACAATATGGAAAGGCTACAGGTTTCGCAACCCAATCAACCTCACAATCACCCAAATGTCCACAGTGTGGCTCCAACCATTGGCTGTCTCGCTGTGATAAGTTTAAAAAACAATCTCTAGAAGAGAGACAGAAGTTCGTCCGGGAAAAGAAACTTTGTATTAACTGCTTGTCAACTGGTCACTACGTCCGCTCGTGCGAGAAAGAAAGTTTTTGTAAAGTTGATGGATGTGTCGGCAAGCATTCAACCTTTCTTCACCCGAAATTGCAACAGCCCCTGAACAACAAGAAAAACGACTCCAAACAGGAAGAGAAAATTCCGGAGGATCGTCGCTCTGAAGATAATCATTCCGAAACACAAGGTAACAACGCCAACAATGGTTACGTCAAGTCTAAGCCCGGTGGTAGTTCTCCAATCACAGGACTCGCAATCGTACCTATCGAAGTGAAAGCTAAAGGAAGCTCGAAGACGGTAAAAACTTACGCGTTCCTCGATTCAGGCTCGAATACCACCTTCTGCACCGAAAAATTGCTTGAAGAACTCGAGACCCACGGTACAAAGACGAAGCTGTCATTGACGACGATGCAAGCCGAAAATGTTCCGGAACAATGTACAATGGTTAGCCTGGAGATCTCGGACCTCGCGGGCAACTCTGTAATCAACCTCCCAACGGTGTATTCAAGGCCGAACTTGCCAATCCCGAACTTCTTCGGAAATACCGAGATTTCATGGATAAACTATTCGAGAAAGACTACGCGAGCGAAGCAATCAACAAAGAAGAAGGATCGTTAGGTACGCGCTGGTACCTCCCACATCATCCTGTCTTCCATCCACAAAAACCAGATAAAGTCAGAGTTGTTTTCGACTGTTCTGCGAAATACGGCAACACCTCCCTTAACGACCGACTCTTACAGGGGCCGGACCTAACCAACTCACTCGTCGGGGTGTTAACACGGTTCCGCGAAGAACCCATTGCGTTCATGTCCGACATCGAAGCAATGTTTCATCAAGTCCGCGTTCGACCAAGCGACAGAGATGCTTTACGATTTCTGTGGTGGCCGAACGGCAATCTCGAGAACCCTCCCGAAGAGTATCAAATGAACGTCCATTTGTTCGGCGGTACTTCTAGCCCAAGTTGTGCGAATTACGCACTGAAGAAAACGGCGATGGACAATGCATCGCACTTCCACGACAAAACCATCGAGACCGTCAAACGCAATTTTTATGTCGACGATTGTTTGAAATCAGTTCGCGACAAAGAAGAAGCAATCAAACTTTCGAAGGAATTACGCGAATTACTATCACTAGGAGGATTTAATCTCACGAAGTGGTTGTCCAATTCTCGAAAGGTTATTGAATCCTTGCCGGAAGCAGAAAGAGCAGCTCAAGTCAAAGATTTGGATTTCGACAAGATTCCAATAGAAAGAGCGCTAGGCGTCAGGTGGAACGTGTCTTCAGACACGTTCGGCTTCGCAATCGTGATTAAGGATCGACCGGCAACGAGAAGAGGAATACTTTCGATCGTCAGTTCTATTTACGACCCCCTCGGATTCGTTGCTCCTTATATTCTCTCGGCAAAATTGATCTTACAAGAACTTTGTCGATTAAAGCTCGACTGGGACGAGAAGATTCCTGATGAAAATCTTAAACACTGGCAAGCATGGCTACATGATCTACCTCAACTTGAAAATTTAGCTGTCGAACGCTGCTTCAAACCAGCTACAATGAATGAGATCAAATCAACACAACTTCACCACTTCTCCGATGCCTCGCAGCAAGGTTACGGAGCTGTGTCCTATATTAGAATCGAAGACATATCGGGAAATGTCAAATGTTCGTTCGTGATGGGAAAATCCCGACTTGCGCCTATGAAGCCAGTAACGATACCCGAATGGAGTTATCAGCGGCTGTAGTGTCTACGAAGCTCGACAAGATTTCAAGAAATGAATTGAGCTTGCCTACCGATCAATCTTTCTTTTGGACTGACAGCACTTGCGTTTTGCGCTACATTGAAAACACGACCAAGCGATTTCAGACGTTTGTCGCAAATCGAATAGCGACAATACATGATGCATCGACCCCCAAGCAATGGAATTACGTGGACACTCGTTCAAATCCTGCTGATGACGCATCAAGAGGCGTGCCGGCAGACTCTCTTCTGCGATGGATCAAGGGTCTCGATTTCCTTACTAAGCCACCCGGAGAATGGCCAAAGAGACCTGGAGATCTGGGATCAACCACGGCGGTCCTAGACGACGACCCCGAAGTAAAGCACGGTTCGTCTGTTTGCGCTGCCAGCATAGCGCACGTTTCTAAGAAAAAGTTCATGGATCAACTAATCGAAAGATTTTCATCATGGAGCAGATTAAGAAGAGTATTCGCTCTTATACTACGCTATATAAGAAACCTGCGTTCGCGTACCCAATTTCAACAGAAAGATCGAGCAGAATCCCTACCATCAGCAAATATCCCACCAATCAGTTTGACAGAATTGGTCAATGCCGAACGTGAAGTTTTGAAACTCGTACAGCAGGGCTGCTTTGAGGAAGAGTTTCGACATCTTCAAAGTAAAAGATACAACATATCGGTTAGCAATGCTAGCAGTATTGCAAAACTCGACCCTATCCTAGTCGACGGCCTCATTCGAGTCGGAGGTCGTATCCAACGAGCACAGATCAGCGATGACGCTCGTCACCCAATTATCCTTCCTAAAACCCACCACGTAGTCACCCTAATCACCAAATATTACCACCACGTCTCTGGTCACTCTGGCATAGAATACACGTTATCTTTAATAAGAGAGCGGTTTTGGATAATCAAGGCACGGACTACAGTTCGAAAGATATTGAATGCGTGTGTTAGCTGCAGAAAAAGACAGTCTCCTGTCGTCGAACAAAAGATGGCAGGCCTTCCGGCAGATCGCGTAACCTACGGAAAACCCCCATTTTCCTTTACTGGCGTAGATTGCTTCGGCCCGTTCTCTGTACGCCGCGGAAGAACGAGTGCGAAACGATATGGTATCATCTTCACCTGTTTAACATCTCGAGCAATCCATGTAGAAGTAGCAATTTCTTTGGATACGGAATCCTTCATAAATGCTTTACGAAGATTCATCGCAAGACGGGGCCAACCTGAGGAAATGCGGTCGGACAACGGAGGTAATTTCGTAAAAGGCGAAAAAGAACTTCGGCAAGAAATCGAAAAATGGAACCAAAATCAAATCCATGACTTCCTCGTGCAACGTAGCATTAAATGGACATTTATTCCACCTGCAGGCTCACACCACGGCGGGGTGTGGGAGCGATGTATAAGAACAGTTGGAAAGGTAATGAGAGCTATTACCAAGGAACAGTTACTCGATGACGAAGGCCTCAACACATTGATGTGCGAGGTCGAAGCTATTGTCAATGGACGGCCGTTGACAAAGTTGTCAGATGACCCCAACGATCTGCGACCCCTAACCCCCAAACCCCAACCATCTCCTATTGCTCCGAAGCGGAAGAAATTTACCACCTGGAAATTTCTCAAAGAACGACTGCTGCAGCACGAGGCGATGGCGACAAGTACAGTATCTGGCCAATGTATTTTGGAGGCGATGGATTAGAGAGTATTTACCATCATTGCAAGAACGGCAGAAATGGCTTAAGAAACGATGGAATCTAGAAGTTGGTGATATTGGCTTAATCCTCGATGAGAAAACTCCGCGCTGTAGCTGGCCAATGGGACGCGTCCTTGACGTCTACACCAACCGTCGGGATGGTCTCGTGCGTTCTGTGAAAGTGAAGACAAGCTTATCGGTGTTGGTTCCACCAGTGGACAAGATTATCTTCCTGGAATCTGAAACTGCTCCAACAAACAATAAGTAGAAAATAATTAAGATTTAATAGACGGCGATAGCCAGGAGCAATATATACAAATATACACATATTAGATTAAGTACTAGTTTAGATTTATCATAAAGTTTCGAACCCATAGAATTTTTAGGTAAAGGCTTCAATATCGCCTTTAAGGGACCGGAATGTTGGTTTCGAAACGGAAGGTCGTTCAAGTTGGTATTTTGTAAAAGACCTTCTGGCAAAAACATGTTATTTTCCGTTTCAGCGCAAAGATTTACATTAAATGCGTAAATTTGGTTAGCAAATGCGCAATGCGGTTTAATCAATATCAGAATATCAGTAGCGGACCAAGACAAGAACCCTGCAGAGAAACTCCATTTACTTTGCTCCGTTTATAGAACAAATATTTTGGTACGGCATGCACGCTCAATTTTTTCAAGGCAGGTCAAAAGAAATTGGCGCCGTGACTAAGCCTGTTTATGCGTTATTTTTCTTTTTAGGCCTGAATACGACAAAATTTTAGAAAGCACCAAATAGAATATTTTTGGCACCCATAACCACACCGCAGTTGCTATATATGTCAGCAGATTAACAAAGCTTAGATGCATCAATTGAAGCAAATGAATATGGTTTAGTTGACAAAATAAAGGAAATAAGGACAACTTGTTAGATCATCTAGTAATCATGCAATAAATGCCTTCTAAAAAATTCATCCTTCGAATAAAAAACGAATCTTTTAGTTCGTGTTATAGTATCGGTATTTTTGCATTTTATAACTTGTTGAATGTCTTCAGCACCCTAGGTTTCTGTTAAAACATTTGTTTTCGTATCCAACCAGAGCTTTTCCTGCTGTTCTTTCCCGCCATTTTGCAGTAATTATTTAATCTGCGCATGATCAACAATAAAAAATTGCTGATGAAATCAAAGAACATTCGAGGCCGACCCTCGTTCAAATCCGATATGAGATAAATTCAGCGGTTAATAATAACAAAGTGACGATATTCAATAAGATTCAACAAAGAAATTTTCTGGGGAAAGTGTTCCAAACCCCCCAGAACTCCCGTATCTATAAATGATCAATTTTTAGCTCGCCTGCACTTTAGTGCAAGAGAGCTATTGCTATAGTCTTGGCGTCCGCGTCCCTGTCCCCGTCCGCGTCCACACTACATGATAAGTAGAATGTTAAGATGCCACTTTTATTTTCCCATTATTTTCAACTTATCTACTTAAGGAGTCTATTTGTTGCAAAAGAACCATTTACCAGGGGGGAGTGAACATTATACAACAAAATATAATGATAAGGTCAATGTTAACATGCTATATTTTCTCTATACTTTGGCTTTACATCAGAGGAATCATTATCAATATAAGTCATCAATATGCATTGTGACTATTTAGTGCCATTTGGTACACATTTATACAATAATAAAGAGAGTTTTGCTCAAAATTATCAAATGATAAGGTGAATGTTAAGCTAATTAGCATAATGATAAGGTCAATGTTAAGATGTTATATTTTTTAAATATTATGGCTTTGCATCAGAAGATTCATCATAAATATAGCTCATCGATACGTCTTGTGACTATATGGTGACATTTAGTACACATTTACACAAAAATAATGGGAATTTTGTTCAAATTATCAAATGATAAGGTGAATGTTAAGCTAATTAGCATAATGATAAGGCCAATGTTAAGATGCTATATTTTTTAAATATTATGGCTTTACATCAGAGGAATCATCATAAATATAAGTCATCGATATGCATTGTGACTATTCAGTGCCATTTGGTACACATTTATACAATAATAAAGAGAGCTTTGCTCAAAATTATCAAATGATAAGGCAAATGTTAAGCTTATTAGCATCATGATAAGGTCAATGTTTGAGTTATCCAGAGTTATCACGCTCATTACGATTTTCAGGGCTATTGTGTAGCCCTGTTTTTTTAGTTCAAAGTTGTAGCTGAATCATATTTAACGAAAGTATTTGTACAACCCTAAGCCAAATGAGAAACTTTCAAATATTTTCACCTGTATGCTACCATTTGTTTGTATTGTACATGTACAATTATAAATTATGAGATTGTGTTATGACATGCCCTATCAAAATTCAATTGCTTAATATAGAAATCATTCAGGGAGTGAATATATATAAAACATAGTCCAACGTTAAAGTTTAAAGAATATTGTCAGATAATTCGCAATTACAAGCTTTAGCACATAAGTATTTATAAGTAGAAAGCCGATAGGCTCGGAATGCAAAGGCAAATGGCAACGCATGTGACATATATTTGCATATTATTTATGTAGATACACATGCAAATATATTATTAAAGCCAGTTAAATTGTAGACAGGGCCCTTTGAACTACCTATAAGATTTATGTACATACCTTTTCGTTGTTTGATGCATAATCCTTTTTTGTGTAGATATAAAAATCCAATCTTGTTTATTTCATAAAGCTAGGCGCACACACGACGATTTTAGTCGGCCGATTCCTGTCTAAACATAGGTCTAGATTGTCTAGATGAATGTTTTGATTGTTTTCAATTTTTCATCAAAATGTGGCGACTGGAGTAGACTCGCGTACACGCGCAAGTCTGGGCAAGGGCTGCCTATATGTCTAAACCTGAATGGACCAACTACCGTAAAATCCTTGTGTGTGCGCCCGGTTTAAAGCAGGGACTTTTGCCTGGTCCGTTAACTTACCTGTTGATATCACGTGCGCGGATTGCGAGAAACGGAAGAAATATTGGTCACAAATAAAACTAATGTAATTCCGAGGCCAGTTTTGGCCAGTAATTCTGAGGTCACAACGAATATCTGAAGTTTGTGCTTAATATTACCTTCCAACGCGGATTTTAGCCTTGTAATTTGTAATAAAAAGATCAGTAATTTGTGCTTCATACAGATACCTTTCATACAGAGTTTAGCCTTATTCTAGACAAACAGTGCAGGCGAGCGTTAGGTGATTTCAGAACAATCAGTTCTAACTTCTCCGAATCTGACAAGTTTGCGATGATTTATCTTTTTTCTATTCCTAAAGCTGCTTTCCACGCACGCGTTTTTCATACGCACGTACACACACGGAAGTCTAAATCATTATATATGTTATCTTTGAAAAGTAAATAAATTGAAAGAAGCCCCGTTGACATGGTCACCAGAGAAGGTCAAATTTTGAAGTTAATGAAAGACAATGGAGTGATTTAATTTCTGAGCGCTAAATAAATATACCGAATCTATCAAATTAATAATCATTTACTAATAATCGTTGCTTCATAACGGCAAACGAAGATGCCGTGATGAGTGGATCCGGTACCGTGTGACGCAGCTTAAGTGGAAGACAGCCTTAAGAAGCCAGGCAATAAAAAAGTGATTGGAAGCCACCCACATTTTTTCCAACTGTTTCGACATTGCTGGAATTCCTCCATGGGAGAAATTATCACAACAGGAAAATTCAAATCTGTCGGAGCCACTGGTGCAGTCTTAAAACATTCCTCGCAATTCGGTGCGGAACAGAAAAACTGAGGAAAACTTTCAAAAAACAAAAAAAACTATCCACCCAACTCTCTCTCTACCTCCGCGGTCCCTGGATGATTCTGAATATCTCATGGGTGTAATTTGAGAACGCAAAATGCATCTTGTCTGATAAGGAGACTCCTCCTTAACATCAGCATTTTAATAATTATCCCAGCCTCAAACTAGCTCACAAAATACATTTAAAAAGTTAACTGATCTACGCTCCGATGCTGGCAGAAAGCTAAAAATCATTTTGACTTCAATGTGTAGAAATTTTCATAAACGTTCAAAAAAAAAGAAACAAATATCAAGTTTACTCAGACCATGTTTTGATCCAGTCTCCAGACGAATATGGTTCTTGGCAGGGTTGGATAAATAAAGTAGCTAAATACAGTCATCCCATTAGTTTTTTGTTTTCTTGTGGACACTAATGCAGGTGTGTCGCTAATTTATTTAACCAATCTGGCAACCCTGGTTCTTGGTATAATTAGCTCCAAGTTGATATCACACGAGACAACTTTAGGGATGTAAGACAAACACCGAAATAAGAATTTCAACAACACTCAACAAAGTGAAATCATGAAACGGTTTAGAAATCATTACAAATCTATACAAATTACAATAAATGCTGGCATTAGCCTATGATTAGATATCAAGCAGATATGTACTTGTGTGCACGAGACACTTTCTAAGTCGTAATATCCTATTTCAACACTTGATATTAGTTTTTGATATTAGTTCAACATAATATTATTCACATTTCAGTCAAATTTTCACAATCTTCCAGCTCCGCTTCAGATTATAAATATCTTCCTTCCTAGCTAAAAAACGAACGTTCTCTGTAATGTGCATAGTTCTTGCAGTTCTATACATACATACTATGAATATTCCCCCCTATTATCGTTCTAGTGCATGACGCCACTGAGTTCCGTTATTTTCTTTTTCACCAGCATCAAACTTCGTGAACAAAATACAGCTAATATATTTACTACAATTTGTACCATCATCTTCATGACCAGCACAATTACCATTAGCACCATCGTAGAGACCAGCACCATCACAACATCATAGATGAGAACTATCACCACTAACATGACTATAACTACCATAATGAACACCTTAAATAACACCATCATACGACTGGCATTGGTCACAGTTTTTTAGGACTTGTTTCTTGCAGATGTATTGAAGATATCATCTTTGTTTTGTTTAACAAACTGTAACCCCAGTTAGGGAGGCAAGGGAGTGCTATCACTTGCCCAAGGTGAACTCCCAGATAAACGGAGGGAGGAGGTGTCTTACTTCTCCATTCTAGACCAGCTCCAAGCAAAGTCTAGCCGCTGCCCGAAAACAATGTTCTTGATGATAGTTTTTCATGTTATTGCTCACTGAGTTCATTAAGAAATATCCTAATTAAAAAATCAATTCCAAAACATCTGTCGTTCTAAAAAGTCTCCTTTTTCCAGAAAAAGACATTTAATATCGTTCCGCGAAGCAAGTGCACTTCGCTTAATATCGTCCAACAAAGGATTTTGTGGAATAGACAGTCGAAGAAACACCATATCACCTTTGCGGTCAGGAAAAGCCAGCACGTCTTCTTTTGGGGAAAGAATTGTTTGGGTTGGGAGTAAAATTTTCAAGTATCGTTGATAGGAATGGTCGAAAATCGCGCCAGAGTCCATGTCAAAAAATGTTATCAGGTGATCAGATAAAGTTAATACAATTCCACTCTTGCGAATACAAAATGACCTCGAGTAGAAGTAAGCTGAGGACTCGAATCCAGAATTTATCTTTTTAGAATCACCAGTGTCCAGATCAATTATCCGACTCCGTTTACTAGTTACGCTCATGACCACTGCGACTTTGGAATCATTACTGAAAATTACGACATAAGGCAATCTGTCAGTCCTTCCAGGGTCACGGTGATAAAAGATTTCATACGAAGTTGGTTTTTCGGTTTTTCTTTTCCAAATATAATATTTATTTTTATTACAACCAGAGATAAAGGCACCACCAGGCGAAATTTCCACTTCCATCCTCGGCTCAATTCCAGGCAAATTGATCATTACAGGACCATCAACATCTGTGACATCCAGAACTTTCACGGGTTCATTCCATTTGCGAGCGAAGCTGACAAAGCCTTCAGAAAAACCAACCTTTCGGACAAAAATGGAGCTATCTAAATTACACATCGACACTTGTTGACTGTGAGTGGACACAATCTTTAAATACTCATCTACCGAGTATCGCGTTAAAAAGACAAACTTGTTAAATTCACTAATCACAAACAAGAAATCTTTCGACCACCAGCATAAAAACTTTGACCCACATTGACTGATTTTGAAACGTTGTTCAACTTGGCTGGTATAGACATTCCATACGTTGATATATCCATCTGAGTTGCAGGATGCAAGTCGAGAGCCGTCAGGAGAAAACGAACTCGAATAAACTTCCGTTCGCTGTGACAGACAGGAATGCTCTTGTTTAGGAGTTAATGTCTTAAAGACAATTAGTTTTTTACTATCTGAATGGAGCCACAGATTATTTTCTAAAGCTTGCATTTTGGTTGCACCAATGTTATAACGGTCAGGATAGGCAACAAGATGGTTCCAAGCAACAATCGCAGTCAAAGGAATACTTTCTGTGACACTCAAATAACAATATTCTTCCGAAGAAAAAATGCACTCCACATCTTTGCAGATCCACGGACATGACATTATACATTTCCTTACATATTCGTGACATTTGCCATGTTTGGCATATAGACGTATTTCTAACTGTTTAGAATTTGGTTCCTGAAATCCCTGCTGAAAACATGCTTCACATTTCCTACTCTTTAACACAACTGGTTTCTCCCTTTCCCTGTGAGATAATTTTCGCTTATCACTTCTTTGCAATGTGATGGTGTTCCAAACACACAACGAATAACCCGGATAAGATGAAGAGTTTGAATTTCCAATAATAAATAACCCTGTGACGCTAAAAGAACACCGACTAACAGGAAATCCAGCAGAAAGCGACGACAGCATTTTTCGTTTGGCAACGTCCCATAGTTTAATGGTGTTTGAACCGTTGCTAGTCACCAGTCTTTTGCCGTTAGGGGAAAATGCACAGAACCGGAATGTCTCTTAATTTCCAGGAAAAAATGGGACTTCCTTTCCTCCAGCAATGTTAAACGCCGTTTCCAGTTCACCAAATAATATAAGCGAATCGTCTGGAGAAAATGTGCAGCATGAAATTCTTCCCATATTTGTCGAAAAATTAATAATTTCAACTAAAGTTGGCAGGGAAAACACACGGATAAATTCCAGACTTAGAACTGCTACACTTTTCTCATCGTTAGATAAAGCAACATCATCAAAGCCCTCGCATTTCCAGACTGCTCGCGGCAAAACCGAGACTTCGTAAGACTTCGACTCGACAAAAGGTGAAAGGTTTGATAATAGCGTCTCCGCAATTTTTTTCTCATCATCGCTGAAATAACCTTCTGGAGAATGTGTACGAACCGCTTGTAAATACCATTGTGGAAGGCTTGCCTTTCTAACTGAATCGTCGGAAAAAATTTTTGAGTAATATTCGATGGCACTTTCGAAATGGTCAAGTTCAATGACATGGTACGAAATGCGGGCGCGTAAATCTTCGTTTTTAATCCAAGAACTTTGGAGTAATTTGAGCCAGAAACGCTGCAATACATCTGAATCGATTACAGTTAACATATAACTGACGATAATAATATCAACTGACAAAAACAAACCTTCCTCCATCTCACACTTTTCTACATGTTTTAAACCATGTTTCAGAGCGTATTTTACGTCATTAGTGAACTTCACCTCAAGTCCTGAGCGAACACCTTTATCTTTAATTTCTTTAAAAATCTTTTCGCATAAAAGCCAAAGCGATTTATGTCCATCATCGACATTGACAGTATACTGGTGATCTTTGTAGCCCTTTGCCAGAAGCCAATCAATAACAGATTTGTGAAACACGGTTAACATGTCATCTGAAACGTACAACAAGCACGATACGGTTTCATTAACTTTGTTGATGATGACTTTCGTTTCGCGACAATCCGGAGCTAAACCAAAAGCCTGAGCGACGAAAGTGAGGGGAAGAGGTCCTTCGGAAGCAGCCAGCATTGCCAAAATTTTCAACACATCAAACTTTTCGTTTTTTATGTTGTTAAGCTCGTCTTCAAGGCGTTTAAAATATCGTTCGTAAACAGAATGCAGACCTTCTGGGAGAAACTCCATAACATCATTATCTGTTATCTTCTCAAGATCATAGCGAGCCCTTAGCCCTGATTGAAAGTGATACGCATAGATAAATGAGCCCTCGCACTTGGCAACAAAAATGGAAATAATAGTTATATTTCGCCGAACGCTGTCAAGATATGGATGATCCTCATAGATATCAGGGCTGCCATTTCCCCAAAAGCGGTGAAGATATAGGTGATCCTTAGACAAATCACGGCTGATATCACTTCCATCCACTTTCCTGCCAACTAAACTTGGAAGGCATTCTTTAAAATAAAGTTCAAGATCTAAGTCATTGTTGTCATCAACATTCGCAATGTGAATCTTTTGATCATCTCTTAGTCTTAGATCAGCAACGGAAATCTCTGGCCTGCTCGTCACCAAGATTTTGATGCACTCCGGAAGCTCAGGAAAATATTCAGCAATCAATTGCGTAATTTCATTCTTATTATCAGCAGCACTTTCATCCAAGCCATCGATGACAACTAAACGTGGCTCTTTTATTTCCAATTCATCTAAGGGATTTAGCAAATATATTTGGAAGGCATCTTTGAGGCTTTGGACTTGATGAGGTCGCTTTAACTGATCAAGGAGCTCATTCTTAAACCCAGGGACGCTCTTACACATCTGACTTGCGAGAGACTGCAGCATCACCATAGGATCTCTTAGGTTTGAATCACTGAAATCACAAAAGTGACAAGCAGCCAGCTTTCCATTCTTCTCAAAATCTTCACAGATTTTAGCGGCAAACACGCTTTTACCAAATCCTGGTCCGGCTGTTATTAACTTTATTCTCGAATCATTGTTACACATTTGAAACCACTCGTTAACTTTCTTTAACAACCACTTTCTTGTTCCAGGAAGGAAAAACTTCACTTTTCTTTTAATTTTACTTTTAAAATTATGCTTAGCAAGTTTTCGCAATAAATCTTCATCACTTTTCATGCGGGATTTTTTTTCAGGATTGGGTATTGATAGCGTACGCTTGCCCAATGACTGGCGCATTTCAAATACTGCATCGTGCGTTTCATTTACTACAATGCGCGTTTCTTCAGAGTCTTGTGTTAAATAATTCACAAAACATTCAATTGTAGCAAGCTTTTTAATACACTCATCTTCTCGCAATTTCCAATCTTCAAGGATTTGCACATATATTTTTTCTTCGGGTCCTAAAGGACATTTTTCTAAATCATCGACATCGCTTTGTGCAATTCCCAATTCTACCAATGCCTGGGCAATTTTCTTCCATAAAGATTGAAATGTTGAATCGTCAACTCGAGTTGTTGTTACATGTGCAATAACTTCATTTCTGTAAAACTTGATTCTTGTGATATTCGCTTGCTCTGATCTATCAGTATTCGGAGGCATTAAACCCCATCCTGTTGATGGAAAACCACAAATGTTCCGGAATAGAACTGTAAGTAATGTGACATCAAATGTTTTGGAATCTGGTGGGTTGCCAGACGAAGGAAACAGTAAATCCCACTGGGAAATATTAATAACTCGAGGTTTTAACTTTTGAAGAGATGTTTTGTTTGCAGCCAGTACTCTGGGTAGACTAACAGGTGGATGGATGGTATCAAATTTATTTCTCAAAGCCTCAGTTCCTTTGTCAACTAAAAGTCTACTGAGTCTTGTAAAATTTGCTTTTTCTTGCAGTTCGTCAGAATCCATGGCATTAGAAGCGGTTTGTTACTGTAACAAAATGGTTGTACTAATTATATAGGCTACACCGAGAAAAAGAATGGGACGAGGTGGGGTTTATAATATTTTACGACAATTTGTAGTAAAAGAAAGTCGGAAGGAACCTAAACTTGTTAAATGAAGCGATTTCTTGTGAAAATAATTTTGTGAAGAGATATTTGTTTTAGGAGTAACGTTTCTGACTTGCTACCAACCATATGACAAACTCACATGAACTTAATTTTAGAATTTCCATAAACATTCCGTCTGTCTTATTTGTGTGTGGAAATGGGATTTCTCTTGATATTATAAATTTTGAAAGCCTATTCTCATTTATAGACATGGTATGAGCTGAACGTATTTTGACGCCAAATAATTTATGAAAATATCTCGTGTATTTAAGATCTATTGCTACTCGATTTTTTTCATTTTCGATTGTAAACTGTCGTTGAAGTTTTTTTATAAATTCCATTTAGTTCGAGTGATAATTTTGAAAAGCTGTTTCAGCAAACTCTCGGTCATTTATTTTTACAAATAACACTTCATAAAACATTTCTCTTCTCAGACTAATGGCTGTGCCTCCTAAACATGTAACCAGTTAAGCTGGATTATTATATTTTCGTAAGTCTATGCAGTACTATTAGGCGCTCAGGGATCGACTGTGTTAATTAATTTTGACTTATCCACTGTTTAAGCTAAACGGGCTTGATACAAGCGGCCCCAGTGCGCGACGCAGTAATAATTCATAACACGATTGTGAGGCTCAGGGGCTAAAACCTGACGATAATCAAACACTATAAACAGCAAATAAAGCAGATTAGTTGTTCTGAGACTAAGGATCGATGAATACACTTTTATTTTAACACTCTTACATCTCTCCTGAATAAGTCAACTTGAATATTATGCACTCAATATATAGTTGTAAACAGAATCTTTGTATTAAGGTTAAAAACATTTAGTTCCCTTGTTGAATAAAACGATAGACTCGCTTTGTATTTTGAACTTATCCACCGTTTAAGCTAAACGGGCTTGATACAACCGGCCCCAGGTGTCTAGAATTGCCGTCGGTGTTTTTTTTGTTTGTTTTTTCTTTCGTGTTTTTTGCGTTTTCGACCCGGTCTTCCTGGCCGCGCAGGCCAACTAAGATACTCGTATTTTGAACTCTCCTGATTTCCTATCAAATTATTTTCGTGATAAACAAACTTAAAATGGTAACCTAAGCCGAGTAACCCTAAAAAAAGAAATATTTTACTGAAACAATAATTGAAAAAGTTTGTTGTCGCCGGGATTCGAACTCGGGTCGTGCGAACCAAAAGCAGGAAACTGCATGCACGATACACGCCCATATAAAACAACACGAACACGAGTCGCTGTGTATGGAATAAATATTGAGGAAAAACAGGAAATGGGGCACAGTTGCAAGCAACGATTGACGCGACGCAGTTACCGCAAGAATAGGCGTCTTGTTTCTATATTGGTTACCGGTTCATTTAACATGACGTCACAGCTCTGAACTGTGCCACTCAATAGAATACAATAGACACTCACACTGTCAATATTCGAAGAACGTAATGACGTCACAACTCTGTACTATGTCACTCAATAGAGTACAATAGACACTCATAGTGTTAATATTCAAAGAACGTAATGACAACACAGCTCTGTACTGTGCCACTCAATAGAATACAATAGACACTCATACTGTCAATATTAGAAGAACGTAATGACGTCACAGCTCTGTACTGTGCCAATCAATAGAATACAATAGACACTCATACTGTTAATATTCGAAGAACGTAATGACGTCAAAGCTCTGTACTGTGCCACTCAATAGAATACAATAGACACTCATACTGTTAATATTCGAAGAACGTAATGACGTCACAGCTGTGTACTGTGTCACTCAATAGAATACAATAGACACTCATACTGTTAATATTCGAAGAACGCAATGACGTCACAGCTCTGTGCTGTGTCACTCAATAGAATACAATAGACACTCATACTGTTAAAATTCGAAGAACGTAATGACGTCACAGCTGTGTACTGTGTCACTCAATAGAATACAATAGACACTCATACTGTTAATATTCGAAGAACGCAATGACGTCACAGCTCTGTGCTGTGTCACTCAATAGAATACAATAGACACTCATACTGTTAATATTCGAAGAACGTAATGACGTCACAGCTGTGTACTGTGTCACTCAATAGAATACAATAGACACTCATACTGTTAATATTCGAAGAACGCAATGACGTCACAGCTCTGTGCTGTGTCACTCAATAGAATACAATAGACACTCATACTGTTAATATTCGAAGAACGTAATGACGTCACAGCTCTGTGCTGTGTCACTCAATAGAATACAATAGACACTCATACTGTTAAAATTCGAAGAACGTAACCAACACTGACACAAACGTACCTTCTCAAATCTTCAAAGCGATGATTCCACTACATGGTCAAAATTTAAAACCTAGAAAGAACAAATTCTGATTGTAACTTTAACCCACCCAATCAGCGGCTAGAATGTCATGTGAGTATAACGTGGAATGCGTATTTATACTGGTAAATGCACTGAGTGGAGTGCTGATGCGTCATTGCAAAAATCGCACGACCACGAAGCGGGAGACCGTATTTATATTTCAGATCGTATACAGACTCCCAATTTTGTTTTATTGAATTAATATTATTACTGTTTACTAAAACAAATCACTTCGCAGCTCTAAAGCTGAAATACACACGATTTTCGCAAAGAAATAAAAAGTAGGTATCATTAAGAATGTATTTATAATTTATAGCAAACATTTCAATAACTAGTTTAACTGTGGTTATATAAAAACTAACTATACATTTGGTTCGGTCATAGAAAAAAAACCATTAAAATTTAGCAAATTTTGATCATTCTTAATTCTAAGATTTGTTATAATATAAGTTTTCTTAAATCTGTTGCCGTTGCATCTTGGAATCATGAAACAGTTTTGATTGTTAAGGTTGTAAGTTTATGGATATTTCGCAGATAAATAATATAACGTGGAAAACCCACTCATCTCATTATTTCTCGTTCTCCCAAACTCCCACGCGTGTTTTTATAACTGTATACATCACAGAAACATCACAGAACTTTACTCCCGTATATATAACCAACATCATCTATTTCATCCTCGTGTCGTGGCCATTGAAGGAGACAAAACTAAATAATTACCGACATTTTATAATAAGAATAATAACTTCTTATTGACCGAGCGCGAGGTCTTTTTGAACAGACCGAGCTCGAATTAAGAGCGAAGTTTGTACAAAAAGATTGAAGTCCGATAATTCTCGGTAAAGAGCGAGCAAGCAAGGTTAATAAAAAGTTTATTATATGGCATAAGGCATGTATTTTCACTTGAAAAAAACAATACATGAATTCGTATTAGTACGCATTTGATATAAACAAAAACAAAATATTTCTATTATTGAATTATTTAGTTCACCTAAACTGTCTGGAGACGTCTTATTCATTTCAAAAGCAATTATATACGTCATCAGTCTACGTCACTACGGAGTACCATGAGAAGCACGCGCTCGCTTTCCTAGCCATTGTACACACGCTTTCTTAGCCGCAACATCAAATTTCTTCGCATCATTCAAGCTTACTCTTCTAGCAAGACTTATATCGCTTGGTTCTTAGAGTAATTTGGTAAAGGTTTATTAGTTAGTCCTTTTAAGGCTTTATTTCACAATTTAGCTTTTCGCGGGATAAGTCGGATAACACAAAATATTGTCATGAATCCGACCAACAGTGATACTCAATCTTTCGAAAACCCCGTGACTTTAGGTCAACCTGATCATGTTGACTGCCTAACAGAACAGGCCATCTTTGGTGATGATTTGGCTAAACAAGGGAGAGATTAAAGGGAGAGAAACGAGTAACATAAGCCTAACCCTTGGCGCTAGCCGAAATAGACAAGCCCGGACCAACCGTCCAACATATAAACCTGATAATCGTTTCACTAATTCTCGTCCACCGAGAAACAACAATTCTGACTATCGGGCTGACAACAGGCCTCATTTTTTGGCGAAGGGCCAGAAAAAACCGATGTTCAAAAACAAACCTGGCAGGAAATCTTGAGTACTCTCAAACAGATTAAATTAAAATTTTTGCTTATTTTTGACCGTTTAACAACTTTTCGACAGTCTTACGACTTCGAGGCGACACTTTTTAGGCTGGTAATTTAAAAAACTCTATTCCAGCCTTAAAAAAGTTAACTTCTGAGCCAGAAATCTTGAACACTGTGACAGGCGCCATTATCAATTTGATACTCTCACAATAACACGCACATGTCCTAAAATGCCATATTCGATCCAGGAATCGGATGTTATAGAACAGAAAATTGCAAAAATGCTCGCCAAAGGTATTATTGAGGTCACCGCACACACTCCAGGCGGGGTCGTGTCCAATATTTTTATAACACCGAAAAAAGATGGCAGCCACAGGCTAACATTAAACCTTAAAGGCCTAAATCAATTTGTTTCTTATCATCATTTAAAAAATGGATACCCTACACTCTATGCTGAAACTGATAGAACAAGGTTGCTTCATGGCTTCGCTCGACCTTAAAAACGCATATTATTCGCTCTCCATCAATCATCCTGATCGCAAATACCTTCGCTTTGTTTGGCAAGGAGTTCTATATCAATTCACTTGTTTGCCAAACGGGTTGTCAAGTTGCCCACGGACATTCACAAAATTACTAAAACCCCTTTTGACTGCCCTCCTTATATCGACGATCTTTTCCTTCCAGGTAACACCTTTGAACAATGTGTATCTAATGTTATCGATACCTTTTTACAATTCGTCGACCTGGAAATTAATTCTGTCGACATGCAATAACCCCAACATCAGAGAAAAAATTAGCCTTACGACAACCATGCGTGTCTTTACTATCAAAACATAGGCCTACTATTCGAGAGGTTGCGCAAGTTATTGGTAAGATCATTTCATCATTCACGGGGGTAGCGCATGGGCCTTTATATTATAGAGCTCTAGAACGTAACAAAACTGAAGCCCTCAAATCATGTAGGGGAAACTTTGACGCACACATGTCCTTATCTGAAGACTCAAAACTTGAACTTCAGTGGTGGGGCGACAATATAGCTGAGTAAAAAAATGTTATTTCGCGAGGTAAATCGTCCCATGTGCTCACAACAGATGCCTCCCTCACTGGCTGGGGAGCGGTCTACGAGGGCAATCGCACCGGGGGATTTTGGTCGGATGTCGAAAAATTATGCCACATTAACTATTTGGAGTTACTAGCGTTGTTCTTAGGACTAAAGACTTATTGTAAATCCTTAACCAATACCCATATTCGTGTCTACCTTGATAACACGACCACAATCGCAGTAATTAACCATATGGGTACTAGTCACTCCCCAAATTGCAACACTCAGGGTAAACGTATCTGGGAATGGTGTATCGGCCGAACAATTTGGCTAACTGCTGCTCATATACCAGGAGTTGACAATACTATAGCCGACTCTGAATCACGCAGCACTTGCACTCACGCTGAATGGATGATTTACAGCTCAATCCTTTAAGGGTGTTTTCCCCCACTTGGATTCCAACCAAACATTGATATTTTTGCATAACGCCTTAATACTCAATTTCCTACCTAATGTGTCATACCAACCTGACCCAGGTGCAATCGCAGTTGATGCATTCACACTTAACCCGGCTAAATTCCAGTTCTACGCCTTCCCTCCATTTAGTGTCATAGCCGCATTACTGCAAAAAATCCAGGAAGAAGGAGGGAAGGGGGTAGTGATAGTGCCAGACTGCCCAACACAACCCTGGTACGCCAAAGCCATGCAAATGTACCGACAACCTCCAGCACGCGTGGGTCCGGGGAGAAACCTGTTGAAATTGCCCGGCCAATCTGGCTAGGAAAGTGAGCGCGTGCTTCTCATGTTACTCCTACGTTCAAAACTGATGACGTTATATAATTCAAATCAAACTTCAACTTACAGATAAGTCTCGTTTAATTTTCAAATTTAATTTTCTCTTGAGCATTTCGATTCCTACCGGAGGACTGATAGTTGACTAATTTTTCCATCAACTGTTCCTGGCTTGAATTTAAGTGTGTATAATTCCACTCGAAATTAAGACCCTTTAAAACCTCTAGAATTTACCTGCATCGAGTGAAGTGCCAAAAATCATAATTAATTTAAAACTGCCACGCACCTTAGAATGTCGTGTGAGTGACATGTAGTTATGGAATTTGTTTATTTAGGGCGTCATTTTCATTTTCATTTTCATATTATTCATTTCATTGTAAAAAATACACAACTGCACCACGCGACGAAGCGCTGTGCAGTCCCAGGCATTTAATAATGCAAGTTTATTCAATACGACGCCACAGCGCTGTTCCGCACCTACATGCACATACAACCAACCATGTCTACTCTACCGTGTTGTTGATAAATCATTTATAATAACAAACGTACTAGTTCAAAATTTAGAATGTGATAATCTACATGGGCAAAACCATATGTAGACGAATATGTCGAACATAAACAAAATCACGCCTTACTTAAGTGCATCGAAAATGGGAAAATATTCTGGAAAATATTTATGTGGCAAAAAGCGCGTGTACAAGAGCTGCTTTCGTACCGAGTACATTCATTGACAAACAAATATGCCTGGATTACAAATCTTTAAACATATATATATATATATATATATATATATATATATATATATATATATATATATATATATATATATATATATATATATATAGATATATGTGTATATATAAATGTCCAAGATCTGCTCAGTAGATGACATAGATATCAATCACAAAGTCTACTACGAATCAAAGTATATTTGAACATAAATATTAAAGCTTATATATTAAATTTTCGATTGTATTCCACAACCTTCATCAGAACTAAGACCCTGTTCTGATGAAGGTTGTAGAGTACAATCGAAAATTTGATATATAAGCCTTAATATTTATATTCAAATATACTTTGATTCTAAGTAGACTTTGTGTTTGATATATATATATATATATATATATATATATATATATATATATATATATATACCCATTTGCAAAAACGTTGGCCGCAGATAGATAGATACTCGAAGTCTAATTAGAATTGCATATGATTACATTTGCATGGGATTTCAATCATATTACACAACATATGCAATTCTAATTAGATTTCGAGTATCTATCTATCTATCTGCGGCCAACGCTTTTGCAAATGGGTGTATATATATATATATATATATATATATATATATATATTAATAATATAATTATATATGTCAATGGTTGTAATATGTTTTTGTTGCTGATCAGGCTTCTCACAGTGCCTAGAGTCAGGCGTTGTTTTGATTTTTTGTTTTCTAACTGGCCCATTTTTATTACTTGTTTTGCCCCATACAAAACATGTATTCTCCCCTATTTATTTCATTCTAACTTTTCAGACGAAGGCCCTCAGGTCGAAGCGTTGAGAAGTGTTTTGTCTATTTTAGGCAGTTGTTATACCACATTTGATGCCATTATGTGAAATGCCCAACTCTTTTTCATGTGGTGAATAATGCATTGAAAAGTTGAATACATGCCAATCAACCTGACCTGATAAACCTTCCAGTCAGTCAACCAGTGAACATATACAGATCATTTACAGTAACTTTTTTAATATTAATGTTCAAAAAAGTTTTCCCTGACAAGCTTGAAGTTGCATGCAAGTGCAGCACCTTGTCACACGAATTATTTTGCAAATACAGTAGTATGTTAGTTCTCATGCACATGCAAGAAACATTAGGAAGTTTTATGAATAATGTCTGAATAACACTGTTAGAAAATCAGAGTGTTATGAGACTTTTAATTTCATCACCTCTGGATCAGACAGTTTACAGTTTATGGTTTGATTTTTTCAGTTATTACTATTAGATTATTTTGGTTATTAATTATTTCATAGTTTAAATAAATTTAGCATGATCCTATTTGATTTACATGAGATGTGATTGAATTAGTGATTAGGTGTTAGTGTAAACAGAGAACATAAGAATATCAGGTCCATTGTGAGACAAATGTGCGAGAGGGAACGATAGTTTGACAATCAGTGGAGATCCACTCTTCAGGTACTGTGAGTTGTGTTTAAGTTTGTTTCTATAATAGTTTAACTGTAATCTAATCACAATCCAATCAATTTAGAATTTACAATATATTGTGAAAAATCTCCATTGGATTGTGTTTGATTTCGCCCAATTGATATAACATATATTGTTTGACCTGTGTGATCAAGTGAGTTTTAACCTATAAATCTTTTCAAATGAGACAACAGTATGAATAATGTGTCATGAAAAATATTATAAAATTTGATCTTTATTCTGTGATTTGAAGGTTGCTTCTGAGGGGAAACCCATTTGGGAAAACATTTTCCTCTTTGCACCAACTGGGGAGTTTCCCTGCCATACACATGCATATTTGGCATGGATTAGATTTTTAGGACAAGAAAGGACAAAAAATAACAGCTTGACTATGGAGGAATTTCACCCTCTTGGATGGGCAAACAGATTCTAATAAAATTCTCATCTAACGATTTACTGGTTATGTGATAATTATCCAGTTCCATGATGGTTTCAACCAAATCTGTTTCCTAACAATTTCCCTAACAATGGCTGATTTCATTCGAAGTTGAACTTACTAAACTAATTGATTTGTGATAACTCTGATAATTTTATCTCAGCAGGTGGAATAAAATGTTTAAAATGGACATGTAAGAAATGAATCAAATGATGATATTCTGCCTGAAAGATATTTCTGGTCTCTGGGGCTAAATGAATTAGTGAATGTTTTAAAATTGATTTCCTGTATTAAAACTAGGGGAGCACTGTATAAATTGAAAATTAGATGTGTTTTAATAATGACCACTTTATAGCAGAACTGATGAAATAAAACTATAGCCCTGACTGTCACTGCTGTATTACTTTGCATACGATATTAACGGCGAAACGTTGAAAAATAAATTCTTTCCCTACCCAGCAAAATGCCAAAATCAGATGTGAATATTTCTGTTGACTATTAGTATTATTATAAAAGCAATGTATATATAAGCAACAATGTGCAATATACTACGTGAAACACAAATATAAACCAAACCATCCCGTCAAAACATTGTTATTTATAGCAAAATAGACAAAGACGCATTCGTATATCGCAATATGAGAGAAAACATACCTTGATTACCTTCGGCAATCACGACTGGTCCGAAGCCGTATGCCTTTGTCTTTGGGCTTGTCTGCCTCGATAAAGCTTGTTAAAACAACTCTAGTTTTGCTCAAACACTAAGTCAACACTTCCCCAATGAATTAATTGATCATCCACGACGAATCAAGTCACTTTGGGAGCTTCTAGTCCAAGAATACGATCATTTTGACAAATAACGAACACAGACTTTGAAGAAATACAAAGACTCAAAGAGAAGCAGGATCTGGGTGAGGTCACAAAGGAAGAATTAACACTTATTTACTGCGACCGAAGGAAACATTAGGCAGATTTAGCTCGAGGACGCGAACGTCAAAGACACAGAGAAGAGATGGACAGAGAGTCGACTCTTCCGATTTAATGTTGAAACGAGTGTCCCCCACTGAGCTATATAATAATTCCTGGAGGACCGGCTCGCCACCAAAAAGTGTAACGAAAAAGATGGCGGATTTTCAGCTTTGCTGACGCCACATGGTCCCCTTTGCCCATGGTAATTACCACTGACATACCGCGATACAAAGTCAAAAACGTGTCCATCACCCTCCCGATTTTTATGAAAATATTTTTGGTTTTCGGTATTGTTTTCGGCATATATTTTCTCCGCGTTTCATCTAAAAAGACTCTTTTTCCCTGTTCAACAAGTTAAATGGAGAAGTGATTTTTCGCTCTACATATGATGCTGTGAATGGCCTAATTCACCTATCGGGATATCAATTTTTACCTCAGGTAAGCCGGTTTTCACAACATTTTCGTTTTTCGCCTTTGGTATAGACAACTACCAAAGCGTCTGTTGCAGTTTATTTCTTTTGAAATTAATGTTAAAAACGGCAAATATGCTGCAGAGTGCAGCCTTTTTGATCAATGGTACATGACTTAGTTACGCTATGAAAAACTATACTTTATGAAAAAGGATCAATAACTGATTTTGAGTTTTGGCTATGTCTTGCCAGTTTTGGCTTTTGAATAGAACTCTTATGGCATTTGCACTGGAGCTTTCACTCATATTTAATGCCAACTCATGAGTATTTTCAGCCAAACAATTAAGATGAATCAATATTCAATCCTCCCAGTGAATCTATTAGTCTCTCTATTGATCCTTTAGATGAATTTAAAACATTAAACATGATGACTGTGTGAGTGCTGATACAAAATATTTTACTGTCAGATTTCAACAGTGGTTGTTAAAAGTCTAGTATGTTATCTTGTTTGCCTTGTCAAATGCAAAGTCAATAATCATGGCTTAATAGACTTCTTGGCATCTTGCACCTTGTTGATCAAGCTACAAGCTTGATTGTTAATCAGTTTGCAATGGTTTTTATTCCCCTCTGGCTCTGTCCTCTGGGTGTACTTTATTGAGTACAGTTAAACTTGGTCTGATCTCTCTTTTTTAGGATGAAGATGCTATTGAATTTGGGGATGGCTTTTTTGCAAATTACTGGAACATTAAACTGTTAATTTTACCATGTTGACTTTGTTAGTCATAGTTAAGATAGTTATTTAAATGGAAAATAAATTTATACAGACATGCATTGACTGAGCAGTTTGTTTTCAATTTGCAGCAACTTCTGGACAGTTTTACCCTCCCCACCATTCAAAGGAATATTATCATGGGGCTAATCAGGAATTGAAGGTTAATAGATTATAGACTAATGGAGGAATGAATAGGCTCAGTTGCATTTTCATGAATTCATGAGACATTTGTTTAATAGCACAAACTAGTACCATATTCTTCTTGGTAGTTGGTACTATAATAAATTTTTGTTATTTACCATAGCCTTTCCTTGCATTATCTGGAATATGATTATGATTGGAAAATGCATTACTTGGGATACAGTAAGATAGGGGTAACTTAGGCTAGCTATAATGACCTGAATGAAAATATCCTATGCAAATGACTTGAAGTACTATTACTATATAATCAGCTGCCCAGCATCTTGCATGAGGTTTGGCCTTTTTTTCCTTGAGTTATGGGCTGATATGCATAAGCATGATGTTCTAAGGAAAACATCACATAACAACATATTTTCTGCCGGTAACCTTTAGTCGGCGATTGATATCCGAAAGATAATCCAAATTTCTGACAAGACTCGAAAAATATTCAAGTATTTTCAAAAATTTTATACAGAAATGTATGAATAATGAAAATAAATAAATAAATAAAATAACCTGTCAGCTAATCGTATATAAAAATCCTTCGTCCACAATTTTTTTTTACGTTTTAATATTAATATTTTCTCTGGCATTCGCAAAACAGCGTCCACGATTGTATAGAACTGAAATAAACGCCTTATTGCAACGCTTTGTAGCACAAAAATAAATCGAAAAATACAAAACAGCAAGGTTTCCAATTCATGTTTCACGGCAAAAAAAATATTCATAAAAAACCAGGGGGGAAATACTGTTGTTTAGATAAACCAGGGGGGAGCATCTCTCGTAGCGGGCTCAGATTTGAGCCTGGTCAGTGGTAATTACCCTGGGCAAAGGGGACCATATGGCGTCAGCAAAACTTCTGCGCAGTGCGCAGAAGGCAAAATCCGCCATGTTTTTTTGTGCAAAAAGATGGCGGCGAAGTTACCGAAAAATGACGAACCGGTCCTCCAGGAATTATTATATAGCTCAGTGGTGTCCCCGAGTTTTGCCTAATATTCACGTCATTTTCACGTCATTTCCACGCGCCACGCAACCACCCGATTCTCTTCTGGTGAGCTCTTTCAGTCTTTCGGCCAAATTTCAATACAAAAGTGTAGAAAAAACGCTGTTCGATAGGTGAAAAATTGATTTTTTTTTAACTGGGTCGGATTATATCCATTTTTGGACTAAAATTTTGGAGATGAACGGCGAGTTGTTTGTTTTGTTGGGTTTAAATGATCGTGCTGTTTTTAAAAGCAATATTAAAATCCTTGTTTTGTAAGTGAGTTCTGATTACCCTTGTCGGCTGCCATATTTTTACCCGAATTGTCAAATTGTGTTTGCCAAAGTAAAACGTACTCAGAGCTGCTTTTTACTGTTTGTCAACTAGCAGGCAGAGTGTTTGCATATTTGTGAGATAACAATATAGGACGAATTTCAAAGAATACTTCTAAATTCGCGTTTTAATTTTAAAATATCGACAAAATACATAGCAAAACATTTCAAAACAAAACAGAGTTTTAGGCGTGATATAACTTTAACTCGCAGAGGATATCAGTTTCTTAATAATTAGCACCATTTGATGATACAAACATTCACTGAAAACATTCATAATTATGTATCTCAGTTTACTTCTCAAGCAGAGTTGCCGTTCGATTACATACTTTTTCAGTCATTTTTCAAACTTTTTTGATCAAATTTTCATCAAGCATATCATCCCTGGGCTTTCTAAAGAAAATATATTTTAGCTCTTACCTTACACTACAAAAAACGTTTGGAACATTTCAGCCAAAGCGGTTAAATTTTTTTAAATTGCATTTTTACTGGCAAAAATTCCATTTTTTCTTATTAAAAATGTGCTCGGAGCTTACCAGAAGGGAATCGGGTGTAAACGCTTACTAGCGCGCGCGAGTAAAAAAGTGGGGACCACTGAGCTATATAATAATTCCTGGAGGACCGGCTCGCTGCCAAAAAGCGTACCAGAAAAGATGGCGGATTTTGAGCTTTGCTGACGCCACATGGTCCCCTTTGCCCATGGTAATTACCACTGACATACCGCGATACAAAGTAAAAAACGTGTCCATCACCCTCCCGATTTTTGACTGTTATCAGTTTTTGAATATTTTTTTATTCATCTTTCCCGCCTTTCACTAAATTTAAAAAATGCCTAAGTTTTGCTGCGTTTTTGGTTGTCATAATTCCTTCTCAAAGGAGAATATTACCTCCCACCGGTAAGATATTTATGCAATTTCTTTATTTTGTAGTTTTTATTGCAAAAAAACACGATATTTTTTCACACGTAAAAGGCAATGGCGTCATTTTTTGTACACTCAGAAATAGCTGTAATAAATTATGGGTTGAATTTCTTTAACTTTTGAGATAATTTGCATTACATCATTGTGTTTTGACTGTTTTTCGTTTTCAATGTATTTCGTGACGGCAAGTTTAATTTATCTCAATTATAAATAAGCTTTTATGCAGTGTGATATCATTTTTTATTCAATAGCTCTAAAATCAAATTTACAAAAACATGTACAAAATGCATACTTGATATACTACATAAATAATATATATTTAACATGCATACTATAAAATTTGAATTAAAAAACCTTTAATTGCATGGTGCTAGGTATTTATTAACATACTACTTTAACATTGAAATATAGTTTTCCTGATGCTGAGAGGAGTCCTGAGTTACATGCCTTATGGATGGAGAATATAAACAAGAATGCTGCTATTGAGTTTACTCCAAATAAGGGAAGTCGTGTCTGTTCCGAACATTTTAGTGTGGACATGATGCAAAAAGTTGGGCAAAGGACAATGCTGTTGCCATATGCTATCCCAACAATATTTCAGAAGTCTCAGGTTTGTACCTCTTTTAAATTAGTGAACAAGTAAGATTATAATTTTCTAATTAGACTCCACTCCAAGAGCTGCATGTTAATAACAACTGTATAGTGAAGATCATTATGTGAGGCAAAGTTCATTAACATTAAAAATAAATTGTCACACATTTTAGCTCAATGACAATTGTCACACTTTTTAGTTGCAAACATACATAAGTTTTTTCTGGTCACCTGCAATGCATATAGTGTTGTCACTATGGAATGTATAACTTGATAGTGCATGAGTACCATTTTGTCTTGTATGTCTTGTGGCATAGATGATTTTCATTGTGTTATCAATATTATAAATTTAACATTTCTGTCAAGGAAACACAAAGTGTGAAATGTGTGGAGGTTGCATCGAAAGATATTGCAAGTTGGATGTCAGACAGAGATTGTGTGAGTATGGAAGAGGTAGCTGAACATATAGTAGACAGCAGAGAAGCGATACAACTGAGAGTGTTGGTAAAGTAGTTGTTCAGGGTGTCACTGATAAGGTAAGCTCTTGTAATGTAAGTGTACAGGGTATAACAAAAGAGGTTAATACTGATGATGTAATTGCACATGGAAGAAAAAGAAAGCCTTCAGATGAAGACTTTGATGAGATGCTTATTAATGGGGTAAGTACTCCAAAAAGAATACACATGAGTCAGGTGAATCATGATCACACCTACCATATCAGTAAATCCCCTCGTAGAATGAAGAAACGTGTAGACAATCTTGTAAACAAAATGACTAAATTGCAGAAAAAGTTTAATGCATCAAAGCAAAAGACAAAAAGGCTAAAGAGAAAGGTTAGCACTTTGGAGTCAGTGGTAAGTGAACTAAGGCAGAGTAATCTTATAAATAGTGATTGCGCTGCGATTTTGGAAACAACCTTTTCCGGAGTTCCAAAGGAACTGATGAAGAGGTTAGTGTCGCAAAAGAAAAACAAAAATCCTGGGGCGTATCCGCCCGAGCTAAGGTCATTTGCTCTGACCTTAAAGTTTTACTCCACGAAGGCGTATAATTATGTTCGGAAGAGTTTTCAGCTCGGGCTGCCACACGTATCTGTGATCCGATCGTGGTATACTTCGATGGATGGTGAACCCGGTTTCACGAAAGATGCCTTGACAGCTTTGAAAGCTAAGGTCCTCGCTGCAAAAAGAAAAGGTGAAGAAGTTGTTTGCGCTCTCACCTTGGATGAGATGTCCATACGAAAACATGTCGAGTGGGATGGGCAAAGAATGCGTGGGTATGTCGACCTTGGAACGGGCATTGAAGACGACTCTCTACCTGAGGCAACCGATGCTCTTGTGTACATGGCTGTATGTGCAAACTCAAGTTGGAAAATACCCTGTGGATATTTTCTAGTAAATGGACTCACTGGTGAAGAGAAGGCCAACTTAACTAAAGAATGCATTCGAAAATTGCACGAAGTCGGGGTGAAGGTGATTTCTTTCACATGCGACGGTCCATCGACCCACCAGGCGATGTTAAAGGAGCTCGGCGCAATTCTTACACCTGATAGCCTGCAGGCGTATTTTCCGCATCCGTGTGACCCAGAGGCCAAGATCTATGTGCTTCTGGATGCCTGCCACATGATAAAGTTGGTGCGAAACACAATGTCGGACTGGCAAGTTCTGAAGGATGAAGAAGGGAACACAATTCAGTGGCAATTCATCGAGAAATTGCATCAGTTGCAAGAATCAGAGGGTTTACATCTAGCTAATAAGCTTCGGGCAGGGCATATCAAATGGAAACCACAGAAGATGAAGGTAAACCTAGCAGCACAGGCGCTCAGTTCGAGTGTCGCTGATGCTTTAGAATACTGCGAAGGTAAGCTGAAATTGCCACAATTTCAGGGATGTGGTCCGACTGTGAAGTTTATTCGTGTTTTTGATCGCTTATTTGATGTTCTGAATTCCAGAAACCGGCTGGCGAAGAATTACAAAGCGCCAATCAGGAGATCGAATTATCAGTACACAAAGAAGTTTCTGGACCAGGCGAGTGAGTACATCCGAAATCTAAAGGGTCCTGATGGAAGATCGATTCTCAAGTCGAAAAGGAAAACTGGATTTCTTGGTTTTCTTATTTGCATCAAAGCAGTTTTGGGATTGGTCGACGATCTGGTTATGACGAAGAAACCAGTCCTGAAGTACCTTCTGACGTACAAGATGAGCCAAGATCACTTGGAGTTGTTCTTCGGTGCTGTGCGAGCATGCGGAGGATGGAATAACAATCCAACCACACGGCAGTTTGTAGCCGCGTACAAGTATGGAGGGGCATTTAGGACAAAAATGACATTCGCTTGTACATTGCATGCCGTTCGTTCATGCCACATGCTATTCGTTCGTATCAGCTTTTATTCTCGACGTTGTTCGCGTGTAAGTTACACGCCATTTGTTCGTACACTTTCTGCCTTCGGTTTGAGCCGGCGGACTCATGTCATCGGGTCAGCGGCCGTTCCTTCTACTAGCTCGAGCCGGCGGACATAGTTTAATCGGGTCAGCGGTTGCTACATGAGACTTCGTGTAAGGACCGCTGTCACACTGCTGTTTTACATTAGAGTCTACAGAGCAAAAGGTTGAACAAAAACGAAAGTACAGAAAAAATGAATAATTCATCTTCTAATAATCGTGATCTATTAACAAGAACCAGCAATTTATTAAGAACTGCATTGTGCCAATTGGAAACTGGAAATGTCTCAGAAACGAGTTCCTCGTTCTCGGAACAAGGACCAAGCGCTTCTACTTTTTCGGCATCGCCATCGGGGCAATCTTTGCAGCAAGGAGTCCAAAGACGAAGTGCCTCCTCTGTTTCAGGGCAAGGTCGAAGTGCCTCAGACGATTTCAGGTATGAAAAAGAGTACGAATGTGCATACGATCTTGAATGCTACACTACCATAGACCATAGTATTTAGAAGGTTGACGACTTGGTGTTGTCAACTGATTTGTCATAATGGTTTATACTTTATATTGTCATAGCAACAGATTCGTGTGAAATTTTGAATTTTAATTAAAAAAATTCTTTCACCCAAAAATAGTGATTGAAATCTTGTAGTGATTATATATATTCATTTCAATTTTAGAAGGGCATTTCCAGGAATGTGTCTAGAAACGTCACACGCCCATTACCTTCTGGCAACTTACAGCCACCAGTGAAAAAAACAAAAGGATCAATAAAAGGTTATGTTCCACTGCGATTCCAGCCAGCAGAGACTTGGACCCATGACATATGTATTCTAGGCAGGTGTAATGAGAGTTTAACACCAGACAGACACCGACTTGACTCCCTTATGGCAGCTGGGCTTGGCAAAATGAAAGTCGTTTTTCCTAACAAGAATGCATCTCATGAAGAACTACAAAAATTCATGGAAGAAAAGTTTCCAAAGATGAAAGGATCGGGAGGGTTTGAAGTTTTGAGAGCTGTTGGAGGTGGTGGAGGACAAAGGGTACTCAGTCTTATCCCACCAAGCAGAGAAGGATATTCTGTATCATATCTCAAAGAAAGGTTGGGCCAGGCCGTAGCCTATTTCCGTCCACTACAAATTGATTTGGATGAAACTGAAGTGAAATATGATGTGAGTTCAGATTTTAGTTTTATTAGTGCTTTTGGACATATTAGTTTTACTAATTATTTTCAACTTACACGATTTTATTATTGCATACTAAGGTAATTATTTCTATTTATTAAAGTTACTCTGGATTTAATTACTCAACATGCTTAACTGTGACAAGGATAGTATTTTCAAATTAGTAAATATATAGGCTTCCCAACCCTTATTGATTCTTGTGTTTCTTACACACCACAAAATTTGACAATTAATGTGCACTTCTCACCTACTGTAAGTATAATCATTGTATGGAAACTGTGATTCAGATTGTCAAGCTTTTATAGTCACTGATATAACATTTGCCTCTTGCATGTAATTAGTAAAATTAATTGGTAATGTTTAAATATTTTTTTAGGATGTTGGTCCAGTTATCAATTGTATCAAATGCAGCACTAGCTTCACATATGGTGAATTTAAAAATCACCAGCTTGTCTGCAACCCTGATGGGCATAAAAATATGGATTTGTAAGTATACACATGTACATACACAACATAATTTATATAATAAATAAAATATATGTTGATTGAAATATAAAATATAAGATATTACTGAAAAAGCTAATATTTCTTATTATTATTAACTACAGATCAATTGAAGTATCGGATGACGAGGTTAGGGTTCCACCTGAAGTGGAAACTATCAATGCAGACAAGGTTCAGTTGCTTACACATTCTATATTCATGATACAAATTATACAGAATATTCACATATAGTTTTTCCAACAGAAAATGTGTATGTACAGTAATAAGCTAATTTTGCTATTAATTTAAAAAGCCTTCATGCATGCCACCAATGAACTACTATCCCTTTCTGATTCCCAGAATACAGGGCTATATGTTGGTGTGTACAAATTAAAATAATATTATACTAAATGTATTTGTTTATGGTGTGTAAGCTAGGTTCAAATGCATATATATATATATATATATATATATAATATATATATATATTATATATATATATATATATATATATGTGTGTGTGTAATCATTAATTATACTGTGTAAATGTTCTGTTTGAAAGGTACCTCAGGAAATACAAGATGCGTATGAGAGCCCGATATGTACTAGTGTCTCAGACAAAAAAGAAGTTAAGGATAAAAGTGGTTGGTATTGTTATAGCTGAAATGCTAAACTGTTTTTTATATTAATGGTACAAATCTAGACAAAGATTTATATATGAATAAAGTAAATGTAATAAATTGAATTTTAAACTGCATAAATGTTTTCTAATAGATTGCATTTCCCACCTGAAAGACATGTTTCCGAACACAAGTATCGAAACATTGCAAAATTCGTATGCAAATAAACAAGGAAATGTGTCTGAGGTGGTTGATGAGCTGATTGGAGGATGGGATGGGCAATTGGAAGGTTTGTACTAGTGGTGTTTCAAATTCTTTGAAACAAAATTGTCAAATGGGTCTATTAAAATAATTTTAAAATATTTGCTAGATTATTTTCCTGATTTTGAAACAATGATGGAGAATATTGATGCAGATGAACCACTAAATCTTGCTGAACATCTTCAAAAACTAGCACCCACAAAAATAACTCCTCAAAGATTATCTGTTGATCGTGGTAGCCTGTTTAAAGACAGTGTGTCATTTTTCAAAAAGTCAAGTTTCGATTTTGACTCCCCAGTGAAAATAGTATTTGAAAACGAGCCTGCAATCGATGGAGGGGGTCCTAGGAGAGAATACTTTACTCTCTTATTGAATTGCTTGGTTTCTCCTAGCAATTTTGTACGACTGTTTGAAGGAAGTGAAGCCCGATTACTACCAATGCATAATACAGATGCATTAAGGGCCAGTCTTTATAAAGTAGCTGGAAGAATTATTGCAACATCCATTTTAATGGAGGTCCAGGCTTTCCATTTTTATCCCCTGCAATCTATTCATACCTAATTTCAGGCTTAAGTCAGGATATTGACATTGTGAAGGAGGATATAGCAGACATAGATATTAGAGATATTGTAACACAGGTAGGGATTCATCAACATTAATCACTAAGTTCAATTGTCAATCAATACACATTTATATGCAAATGTTTTATAAAAATTAAAGTATTTCATTTTCTGTTACAGATTGATTCCTTAGATAACTTTGAAAATATTCCTGATCAAATCCTTGATGCACTTGTGGAAACTGGTTTTACTAAAAAAATCACCAAAGAGAATAAACTTGAAGCTATCACAAGCATAATGCTGAACACAGTGATCTTAATGCGTAAAGCTGAGCTTGATCAATTTGGTCAAGGTCTTGGCCCAATACTAAATGAAGCACAGAAGCATCCTGATGTTTTCAAGCCCTTGTTTGTTCATGTTGGTGATGTGGATCTTACCCCAGAAATGTTTAAAAGTCTATTGATGCATACACACTTAGATGACCCAATCAAAGGCTATTTTTACAAGTATATTGATAATTTGGGTACGTTATTTTCTGTACCGTAACTATTGGTTTTGATTTAGCTAAGAACATATTACTGTACATATATATACTAAAGCTTAATTTTTACATTATTAGATGCAAAGGGTTTGCAAAAGTTGTTGGCATTTTCTACTGGTGCAAGTAGTATACCACCAAGGGTTTCATGAACCTGACAAGATAACTCTCACAACTATTGAAAGTGTTTTGCCAAATTCCAATACATGTCCTATGGATTTAGAACTACCAAAAAAAGTTGCCAATTTTGAAGAGTTTTCCAGACAGATGAACATTGCCTTGGACATGCAAGCAATGGGATTTGGCAATATACACAAGTTGGATTTAGTATCATAACATTTGTTGCAGTTGGGTTCTGTTTAAAGGCAAAAACATTTTCCAGAAGAGATGTGTACATTTCCTAATTAGAACGCCAGGTTTTGCAAGTGATTGTCCTTAATGTTTGTACTTTCCTTAAAATCACCTGCTAATAAAAACTATTCAGGCTCATGGCAACCTGACCTAGAAGATGCAAAAATGCATGCCTGTATGTATGTTTCAATGCCATACACATCAGTATCATTTAGTGGGTCAATCTGTTGTTTCATTGCTTCGAAATCTTCATCTTGTAATGGAGACATCACATCTTGTGTTTCAATATTTTCTGACTCAGGTACAGGGCAAGGTGCATCAGGGTCAATACCATACTCATTCCATTCCTGTGATGAACAAACATAGACTTTAATTTTTTAGGTTCTAGGCAAACTTGAAATCATAGTTTGCACTTAATATTATGAGCTAGTAGTTTAAAGCCGTGATCAAATGGCACACAACAGTCATCCTAATTGTTACATTTTGACATATAAAATGATTATTTTGAATGCAGTTCTAAATTGCTAAATTGGGTGCAATTTTAAAAACATAAATAGGAACTATACATGCTTTTCTGTATATTGCAACACTTAGTATATTGTTGACTTCGTACACTGCATAATAACAGCACTATGCTTTTTACGGTGATTTTTGTATGTATACCACATTCCATGTTTTTCATTTAATTCTTTCCATAATCCAGAGCAGTTGTTTAACCCTAGCCCTAATGAAAATAATCGAAGAGAACACACGAATAAAAAGCATTTTGAAGTAGTAAGTACCTGAGATTGGTAATCAGAAAGCTCTCCAGTAATATTTGATGACATATCAAATAGTCCATTGATCCAAAGTCTGTTTGGCGTTTTATTTTGTTCAGTTCTCAATGGATGATTATCCCATCCATTACAAAAATGCTGGAGTTGTCTGTTTCTTGGTTGAAAAACAAAGTGCAAGCAAAACATGTGAATTGCATTGTTTAGTTCCAAATATCCTGCTTCTTCCAAGTAATAAAAAATAGAGTAATAGATGTACAGACAACCAACAAATAAGTCACGCCACAGCCTCTCTATTCTTTGGTTGTGAACACTTGATCCTGTGATGTAACTTCCCCTGCCTGGTCCTCGCTGTGGATGGTTAAACATATACCAAGCCACCTGGACATTCTCTCCACCATAGTCTCCCCTCACTCTTGAAGGTAGTCCATGAAGTTCAACAGCTTTTGAAAACAAACCTAACACTGTGGCTGCTTGATTATTACCACTACAGGACAAATACATTATCTTTCGAGAAAACCCATCAATGCAACCATGGATGACAAATTTCCACCTGTAAAAGAGGAAGTACATAGCTAGCTCATTACCAAATTATAATGATTGATTTATTTGATTGAAATTGAATTCAGGTATGAATGTATTTACTTTTGTGCATGCCTTCTCACCTTTTAAGTTTATGATGACCATCCATGTGCCAGAGAGAAAGAGGTCCTCTAACATTGTAAACCCTTCTGTGAGTTACCCTTAGCTGTAATGCTCGAACAAGAACACCTTCAGGATCTGAACGTCTCATTGCTTCCCTTACTCTACTCTCCTGCAACTTCAATCCCCGCGAAAGCAAATGTCCACGCATTGTTTTATATCCAGTGTTAGGGAATTCCACCAATATCCCTTTAATTATGTCATCCAACTCGTTCTCAGTAATACTGGAATAGCTGTTCCTCATGGATAGCCCATATTCCTCCAGTCTCCGGTAAACTGTTTTTTCACTAACACCCAAAATCTTTGCCATTTCACTTGCCTTGAATCCATAATCGAGAAATAGTTCCATTTGTTCACAAGGAATGTGAAAACTAGGCCTTCCTCTGGAATTTGTTTGCAATAAAGTTGGTACATGGTTTTGCCTGTGTACAAATCGTCGTCAATGGTTGCAAGAATAGTTTGTGCTTCCCTGATACGTGGTAAAAGTAAATGTTCTATGTTTTCCAAATTATTGCCGAATCTCGTCAGTATTGCACAAAGCCAATCGACTTTGTAGCGAACATAGTCAATGTTAATATTACCATTTGTGCCTTCTAGATTACGAATCACATCGATTAGAATTTCTCTAACATTAACTCGAATCAAATGAAATGGTGAGTTTTGCTGGCTTTCACTAGTAAAAGACATTTTAATTTTTAAATAAAACGGTTACCGTAAACTCGTAGCAAAATTCAGAGTGAAACGCCGAAAGTCAAACTATTCCAGAATTTATAGAACGTCCTTACACGAAGTCTCATGTAGCAACCGCTGACCCGATTAAACTATGTCCGCCGGCTCGAGCTAGTAGAAGGAACGGCCGCTGACCCGATGACATGAGTCCGCCGGCTCAAACCGAAGGCACAAAGTGTACGAACAAATGGCGTGTAACTTACACGCGAACAACGTCGAGAATAAAAGCTGATACGAACGAATAGCATGTGGCATGAACGAACGGCATGCAATGTACAAGCGAATGTCATTTTTGTCCCAAATGCCCCTCCATATACAAGCAACTGCTGATGAGGCACAATATTAAAGGAGGTCATGGAAATTGCGTTGCTCAAGATGACACTCAGATATTAGACTGCGTCAAAGATCAGTGTGAAATTGAAGAAACGCCGACTGGGATCTCAGACGTAGCGATTGCAAGGCGATACGACCTGGAGTTAAGAGAGCCAGCTGCCGTCGATCATGACTACTGTGATGTGTCTAACGCAATTGAACTGTCTGAATACAAAGAGGCTGCAATATCGTATATTGCTGGGTACGTCGCAAAGATGGTGACGAAAAAGATCCATTGCACACAATGTACAACGGTTCTGACGACGACGAAAGAGAACATACCGGACTTGTTCGTAACATGGAAAACGAATGGTGGTTTGCAACTACCGTCACACGGACTAATTAAGATTTGTGAAGAAACGGAGAAGTGCGTTATGAGAATGCTGAATGCTAACCAAGGTGGTTTACCTCGTAGCGCTGGACTATCAGGAGCAATTGCGAAGACGGTGCTGGAAACATGTGTGCAGAGCGGGGTCTTTAGCACGTTAAACCAACACATGTTTGACTCAAGTGCAGTGGACAACCACCTGTTCACTCTGATAAAATGCTGTTCTCAGAGTTATGTCACGATTCGAATGCACCATTTATGTAAGTTGAGGAATGCAAGTATGCATGAGAAGGTAATACGAAAGCAGTTTTCAAAGCTTGTGTTGTTCAAACACCAGTAGAGTTGACACATGTCCTGGGCACTCTTGTGGTGCTTTCGAGGTTTGCCTGTATGCCTTGGAATGCAATGTCAATGTAACTGACTATGAACTAATGGAAATTGATATTTCATCCCTTTTTATTTATATCAATTAATTTTCTACATCTTTACGAAAATGAAAATGACCAAAGACCTCATTTCTCAATATTTCAGTCATAGACATTGTATTTTTCGAAGGTTGGGCGTATCCTGGCACAATAATTTGTGTTTCGAGGAAGAGTGTGCATTGTTGAGAATGCATGGTCAACGGAACCTGCACATTTTAGATGTGTCTAGGGGTTGACAGAGTAATGTGTGTATGGTGTTTGACAACAGTCAATTAATATTTGGCAGATGAACAAATTATAAAATGTAATGATATGTCACTAGAGGTAAATATTGTTGTTTTTGTTTTTTATCTTTTCAATGTGTTTGCATTCATGCAGTTCTGTCCTTAATTTTGTGTTTTTTTGTTATTTTTTGTTAGACTAAGAGCAACTGAAAAGATTTAACTACAACCATAAAAGAAATTATTTAATATTACTATTATTATTATTAGAATAAACAAATTATATTTATAGATATCAGATGAACTAAATTAAACTTTTGTTAAACAGGAATATGACCACACAGACACAAGGGCAATATATGTTAATGTTTGGCTAGCCATGTAGATATTCCATCTTTCTTGACATCTTCCTGAGTTGTCCAAAAAAAATTAAGGTATTGCATTGCAGATGGAAGATATTCCTCAATCCTCACTTGTCTTGGTACTCTTTGTTCAATATTGTAACCAAAAATTGTTGAAGAAGATGTTGTGGTATGATCACACACTGACTTTATGCTGGACAAGAACAAAAAAATCTCATCAATCACGACAATCGAGTTGCGCTGAAATACATATCTCAATTGACTGGTCAAAAAATTTATTGTCACATCACCATTTGATGATACATCAGCCAGTGATATCACATTCTATGGAACAAAATCATGGAGAAAACACAATCAAGAGAAACAGTCCAGTCAACTATTATTGTTGTTCTCAAAGTATTGTGATCAATGCCATTTCATTATACTGTTTATACATGAACCAGTGATACCAACATAATGTGAAAATCTTGTTAAACACATCAACAAAATCATGGAGAAAGGAAAATCAAGAAAATCAGCTAGTCAACAATATATATTCTTGCTGTTGAAGTATCATGATTGATGCCAATGAAAGACACTGGTTGTACATAATCAAAATTTAATTTACCATCACTTGTGTGGAGGAATTGAGTGTCACAGAGAGAATGGAGTTCAGGGTGTCACAGAGAGAATGGTGTATATGCTTTGGCAGTTAAACATTGACAGTGTAAATTTGTAAAATATAGCTATACTGTGATACTGATATTAGTTTATATTGGACAAAAATTCCTTTCTGTTTATATATATTTTTGTAACAGCAAATTGTTTTATATACTTTATATTTTTCGAGGCAATACCAGAGGTGTAGCTGGGAAGGGGGCTGGAGATGCCTGGTAAAATTTGGGGCCCTCCTAGGAAAATGAAGTGAATCATTGTTATGCCATCAATAATGCAAAACACCTGATCTGGCCTATTGAAGTTGTCCATATTAATGTCACAAAATCATTCCTAGAATGTTTAACACAAATCTTGTCTCGAGTCACACTGCTGCCCGCCTAGGTTTTCGCTAGCCTCTCTCTTCCCCAAAATTCTGGCTACAACTTTGGGCAATATATACATTGTATAAATTGTGATTATAGTATATTATTAATTTATTATTATTATTGCAAAGATGTATATATGATTTACTGTTTATACTACATGGCTTAATTTACACTTTCTGTCATGGGTAATTGAAAATTGAGATCTAATGTGTTAATTAAAGCATATAATTATATTCCTCTTTATTACTTTCAAGGTATACTATTAACACAAGGTAAAAAATACTAGCAGGATAAAATTATAATATTTGACAAACTTGCAAAAATCCCTTTAATGGACATTTTTGTTTAATTAATACAAATAAGCAGAACAGAGTACCAGTTGGCAGTACTGCACATATTTGAATGGTTTATTTAACATTGTTTTGCAGTGTAAAGACCCGAAATTACCAAGTCCAACGACAATGATGATGATGATGTTACCAATTAGTTATTAATCAACTATAACTTTTGTGTTTACTTATAGCAGAGACTTTATCAATTATTGACAATTGTATTAATACTATTTTAAATAACCAACCACCTTATACTAGAAACTTGAATAAATCATGAATATATATTCTATGAAATCTCTATATTAGCCTTTCTCACAATGACATTTTTGGGGTACTTTCAATTTTCTCAAATAGGTTTAATAAATTATAACCACATGAAAAGCATCAACACACCATTTGAAGAATAAAAAGCATATTCATCATTGTGAGAAAGGATAACTAAACTTTGACATGTGTATGAGTTATCAGAGGAATATTAAAACTTTCAGAATCTTAAACGTTAAATTGATTGAAAATTTTGATCATTTTAGTCAATTTGATTTTATGAAATTAAATGCACCTCATTAGTTTGTCACAGTCCTGTATAAGGCCAACAGAGTCGATGATGCATTGGTTTATTGGCTTCGAAATGATAGGCCTGTTATAGCTGTTAATACCAGTTAGCTAAGGATTCAAATTAGTCATCTGGTTTTCAGGGCTTTTTTGCCTGTAGAAATAAGAACAAATAGTTTACACAATACCATGTTTATCAATACTTTCATTTGTAATTTGTTTTTAACCGCGTGCAAATAATGCCAAATATGTGAGTGCAAATAAATGTATTCCTTGCTTGTTTGTCGATAAAAAGCAATCTCATGATAATATTTGACGTTATTTCGGGCTCTTGAGATTCTTAAAAAACAAAGGAATGGTCAATCGATAATCGATGTCTATACAAAAGTTGTGTCTTAATACCTGTTTCACTTCAAGGCTTCTGACTTTCCTTCTCGCTTTCCTCGGGCTTGTAGAAGTGTAAATATCAGACAGATTCAAAAAGATCTTTTTCCTTCGTAAATTCAAAACACCGTATTTGTGGCGGAGGCGTACAAAAGATTCGTATTGCATATATTCTTTGCACACTTTTCACAGATAAAATTTAAAAAAAAAACAGGGGGGAGCATTCTCTTGTAGCGGGCTCATATTTGAGCCTGGTCAGTGGTAATTACCATGGGCAAAGGGGACCATATGGCGTCAGCAAAGCTTCTACGCATGCGCAGAAGGGCGAAGTCCGCCATGTTTTTTTCGACAAAAAGATGGCGGCGAAGTTACCGAAAAATGACGAGCCGGTCCTCCAGGAATTATTATATAGCTCAGTGGTGGGGACGCGTGGAGCCGCGAGTCGACTCTCTGTCCATCTCTCCTCTGTGTCAAAGAGGACGTGAGAATGGCGAATAAATGGCGTGTTACGCCTATATTTGGACATGCCACGCCATTCATTCGCCATTTTTACGTCCTCTTTGACGTTCGCGTCCTCGAGCTAAATCTGCCTATTATGTTTTGTGGACCCGAGACCTGTCGATATTTCACGAGGCGAAGCCGAGGGTCGGGGAATATCGACGGTCGAGGGTCCACTAAACATAATGTTTTCTAAGGTCGCAGTAAATAAGTTTTTTACTAGGTTACCTGCAAGGTAGAGATTGCTGCGAGCATTTTAGGGTCCAAGTGAATTGTTATATGAAATGTTAGTAAACTAAATCCGTTTTAACTAATAGCAATAGCAGGTTTAAAAAACGCAAAGTGAACCTCTATTGAGCGTTAACTCGCTGGGGCTGTACATGAATTAACACCTATTAGCAATATATGCTATATCAATGCTGTCTTGCGAGTTGCAGCTCGTTTAATCAAAGTCTTTAGAAGCAGCTAGTTTTAAAAATATTTTAACATACGAATCACAACAGGAGTATTAACACTAATAGTAATATTAGGTAGAATTTTGCGCGCGTGGCTACATTTTCCCCGCAACAAAGCGAAAATACAGGCCCAGTAGCACATGTTTAAAACAAAATAGAACATTTTTTGGTAACATGGATATTTGTTTTTTAAATATGCTATTTGTCTTTGTTGTGTCCATGTAAATGTTTGACTTCGTGTGAAGAGTAACAAAACATCACTTAATACTTTGAACTTTGAACGCGCTCGAGAAGACGTGTAATCAGAAACCACGTGAAGATCCGGTAAAAGCACTAAATAACAAAAACATTTAGCTCATTGTAAAATAGGAATAAAAACATATGCCTATGCTTACAGTAACTTAATTTTAATCTGAGCGATTCAGTCAGGCAATTTAGACGATCAATTCAATTGCATATTTTATCTGCGACTGTGTCATGTTATTAAACACGACTCGCAAGCGTCAAGCCGCATACTTAAAACATCATTTGATGCAAAATATGGAAATCAGCAAAAGAATACAAATGTCAATGGATAAAAAAGACTTTAAAGCATCTGTATGTAAGACTTGATTTGCTTCACAGCACTGACAGCTCAACTGCTAAAGTAAAGCGAATTAGCAAATTGGATAGTACATCTTAATATTCTAGAATGATTTATATAGTTCGTATATATACAGCATGAATCTAGCTGAGATCGATTGTATGCTTTTAGCGTTTCATAAATATACCAGTTAAAATTGTAAACAACTGTAAACGTAACATATGAACGAAAGATGAAAATATCTTACCTTGAATAGTCAAAATAGAACAGAAGCTTTGAAATTTAACAAAAATTTGAAGATCCTGTATATGAGCGAGTTTAAAATTTGTGTTCTACGCATAAAAAACGCGCACGACCACAATTCTTTGCGCTAAATAAAATTTAGTTCTGAACCCCCTCTCTGCACAAATTAGACTGCTGCTACGCTCGCTCGCTTCAGGCTCGCTCGCTCCGCAGCAATTATATACCACTTGTCAAAGAAAAACTAAAGTTTGTCGAGCTCTTTTTTGTTTAATTGTTCAAACGTTGGTGGGATCTTTTTTTCTACACAATATTCTCTGAGGATATTCGTTGCTTGTTTGGTCACTTTCTTCGTTGACTCAGAGTCTTTATTAGCCAGCAAGCTGTCTATTTCGTCGCTAGTATTGCTGGCAAATCTTTCCATTCTAGTTTTTAACAGTTGTCAAAAACAAACGCTGCGAAGGACGAAGGTCAACTTAGCCCAATGTCAACTAAAGGTCAGATGTCCACGAGTGCAGCACGTGATTAAAGTTGTTATTTCCCATGAAATAATGCATTGTTTCCCCCTGCTGGGGGTCGCGCGGGCGACATCAAAATTTCGTCACTCTCACGTGATTCGCTCTCGACCAATGAAACGCTACGAACACCAAACTTTGACAAGTGGTATATAATAATATGTTATATGTATGATCTTTAGTTTGTGGCATTGGTTTGTGGTGAGGTTTTGGCTGTAGCCACTGAGCTATATACCTCTGCGAACTGAAGTTACAAAACTGGAACAATATATCTAAATCATAGATTTTTGATAAAATTGATAATGGCAATAACCGCTCAAATAATACCGGCTTTAAAAACACTGGGGAGAGCACTGAGAGAAGTGAAAAACTCAGGTAAGATCGAGGACTTGGGCTATAATTCCAAATCTAAAAAGTAAAGTCCAAGTCTAACAAATTTCTGATAATTCACCTGTTTTCCACGCACGCGTTTTTCATAATAAATAAATAAATTAAGAGGATCAGTTTTCTACAAATTTTGGTAAAAAATAAAAATGTTAAAGCATTCTTCCGTGGGTGTACCTGCGTATGAAAAACACTTAAAGCCCCGTTGACAAGGTACCGGATTACTATCGGACCAGATCGAATTTTGAAGTTAATGAAAGACAGCGGTGTAATATACATAACTGCTATTTATAGATAATTAAGCTTGGACAATAGGATTAGAACTGATTGACAGTTAGAGACAAATAATATAGAAAGTGTATGAGAGCGAGAAAAGTAAGAGCACATGAAAAGTAATATATATAATATAGAGAAACAAAATATACAGTTATACAAATCGGAGCAAGGAGTGAGATCATTATATTGGCGACGAGAATGGCTGAAGGACAAGCCGAGCCACAAGAAAATATCACAGTAAATACGCAATCGGTTTCACTACAACCATTACCAGAGTTTAATCCAGACGCTGATGTTGGCGAAAGCTTAGGCACGCGCTGGAACATTTGGATCCAAGATTTCGAGATGTTCATCCTCGCTAGTGGGATTACGGATGAGAAAAGAAAACGCGCATTGCTATTATATCAAGCTGGCAAACGGGTTCGCGAGATATTTAGACAAATACCTGATACGGGAGACGCAACTGATTACGAAGCCGCGAAAACAAAGCTTCACGAATACTTCCAACCGCAAGAAAATCGCCGATACGCAGTTTACCGCTTTAGACAAGCGAAACAAGAACCGAACGAAACCCTTGATCAATTCCATACACGATTACGGACGTTAGCACAGACTTGCTCTTTCCACAACACAGATTTTGAAATCGAACAACAAATTATTACGGCTGGGTCATCTTCACGGATTCGGAAAAAGGCATTAAGAGACCCAACATACGATCTGAAGTCTATACTCATCGATGGTCGCCGTGCCGAGATGAGTACATTTCAAGCGCGAGACATCGAATCAAAAGACACAAATACAGATCGTGTTAACAAAGTATCATCGAAAACAACATCGAAAACGTGTCACAATTGCGGTGGTACGTATCCTCATGAAGGACAATGCCCAGCTAAAGGTAAAGAATGTCGGAAATGTCAAAAGCTCAACCATTTTGCTCGAGTGTGTCGAGGAAAGATGCAACGTCAGACAAAAGCTTTTCAACATGAAATGAAACCGAAACAGAAATACAAACGCCACTAAATCCACTAAATGAAGTTCAGAGCGAGACGGACAGTTCTGACAACGAATATTTATACACAGTTTCTAATGACAAGACCCCCAAAGTCAATGTTAAAGTATGCGGACGATCGTTCAAAGCTACCGTAGACACAGGCGCAACGATCAATGTCATCGACCGAGGTACATATGAGAAAATACCAGGAATAGAATTAAAGAAAACGAACATAAAAGCGTTTGCGTATACTGCTAGCAAGCCAGTAAAGTTCATTGGCAAGTTTGAGGAAGCTATTGAGACTCGCCGTCGAGTTGCAGTGGCAACTTTTTACGTCGCAGAAACGACAGACAGCGGAAATCTAATATCAGCAACAACGGCAGAGGAACTTGGCCTGGTAAGTTTTCATCTTAACAAAGTAACTGAAACAAAAGATCGTGAACTCCAAAATATTCTAAACAAACATTCAAAAGTTTTCCACGGGTTGGGTAAACTCAAGCAAGAGAAAATCAAATTAAACGTTGATAAAACAACAACACCCCGAGCACAGCCACAACGCCGAATTCCCTATCACATACGTCAGAAGGTCCAGAACGCGATAGAACAACTAGAGAAAGACGATATTATTGAACGGGTACCAGAAAACCAACCTACACCTTGGGTATCGCCAATTGTAGCAGTACCGAAAAAGAACGGGGACGTTCGTATATGCGTCGATATGCGCGCTGCCAACGAAGCTATAAAACGGGTACGACACCCTATTCCAACAGTTGAGGACATCAGCTTTGAGTTAAATGGAGCAACGTGTTTTTCCAAATTAGACCTTACACAGGCCTATCATCAGCTAGAACTACACGAGGACAGTCGTTACATTACTACATTCAGTACACACATCGGTCTTTTCAGATACAAAAGGCTGAACTATGGCATCCAATGCAGCTGCTGAGATTTTCCAGTACACTTTACAAACCCAATTGCAAGGATTAGTCGGAGTAAAGAATATAGCTGATGACATTTTAGTATACGGCAAAACACAGAAAGAACATAACACAAACTTGAATAAATGTCTAAAACGAATCTCCGACAAAGGACTACGCTTGAATCAAGCTAAGTGTAGCTTCTTGAATGACAAACTGGAATTTTTCGGACAAGTATTTTCCAAAGACGGCAGCAAACCTGACCCCAAACGTGTAGAAGCTTTAAAGAACGCGCCGGTACCCAAAACCATTTCTGAAGTAAGAAGTCTCCTCGGCATGGCAAACTACAGTGCCAAGTATATTCCGAAATTTGCAACCATTACAGCTCCATTGCGCCAATTAACGAAGAAAAATACACCTTTCGTGTGGACCGACATTCATCAGAACGCATACAACACGTTAACTTCCACCTTAGCTTCAGCATCGTGCATGGCATATTTTGACAAAAATAAAGAGACACTGGTAACGGTTGATGCGAGTCCAGTCGGCATATCAGCAATCCTTTCGCAGAGAAACAAAGGAAAAGACGACGAGAAAGTAGTGGCATATGCGAGTAGAGCATTAACAGAAGTCGAACAAAGATACTCCCAAACCGAGAGAGAGGCGCTGGCTATTATTTGGGGAGTGGAACATTTTCATCTATACCTGTACGGAAACGAATTCGTTCTAATCACAGACCATAAACCACTAGAAGTAATCTATGGCAACAGAAACTCCAAAACATCAGCAAGAATAGAACGTTGGGTGTTACGCTTACAACCTTATGCTTTTCAAGTAAGATACAAGCCAGGAGCTAACAATCCGGCTGATTATCTATCGCGCCACCCAACAGGAAAAAGCTACAAACAGCAGAAAATGACAGAGGAGCACATAAACTTTATTGCTCGCTCCAGTGTTCCGAAAGCACTGACGATAGAGGAAATCGAAGAAGCAACGAACAAGGACAAAACCTTACGAGGAGTTCGGGCAGCTATAAAGCTCAACAAGTGGCACTACGAGGTAGTCAAGCCTTATAAACAAGTAAAAGACGAACTTACTGTGACAACAAAGGGCGTGGTTCTTCGTGGTTCTCGTATAGTGATACCAGAATCGCTACAGCAACGTGCGATTGACATTGCGCACGAAACTCATCTTGGCATTACCAAAACGAAATCATTAATCCGAGAAAAGATTTGGTTTCCGAATATTGATAAAATGGTACAAGCAACAATCGAGAAGTGCATTCCTTGTCAGGCAGTGGGTAAAGCACCACCACAAGAGCCAATATCAACGACAACAATGCCAAAGGGACCATGGGAAACGATACATTTGGATTTCTACGGACCACTTCCTTCGGGAGAATACCTTCTGGTCGCAATTGATCGCTATTCCAGATATCCCGAAGTGGAAGTAGTACGCTCGACAAAAGCTTCTGTGGTCATACCCAAATTAGATCAAATGTTCGCCCGTCATGGCATCCCAACAACTATCAAGACAGACAATGGACCGCCTTTCAATAGTGCAGAATATAATCGTTATTTGACATTTCTTGGAATTAAAGATATCCATTCAACACCTAAATGGCCCCAGGGCAATGCAGAAGCGGAAAGATTCATGCGGCCCCTTGGAAAAACGCTACGAACCGCTCACATTGAAAGAAGACCCTGGCAGCAAGAGCTACATCGTTTCTTGTTACAGTACAGGACAACACCACACTCTTCCACGAAAGTTCCACCAGCGGAATTACTATTTAACCCAGTGAAAGGAAAGCTTCCAGAATTAAAGAAGCGGAACATTGTTAACAAACACAATATTGCTAAAAAGAATGAAATGGAGAGACAGCGATACAACAAAGAATATGCGAACGAAAAAAGAAACGTAAAAGAGAGCGAAATTAAGATAGGAGACTATGTCTTAGTTCGTCAGGACAAGCAGAAAAATTGACTGCGAATTACAACAACGTTCCATACGTAGTCACACACAGATCGCATTCACAGGTTAAAGCAAGAAGCAAGAACGGACACGTTATCACACGAAATGTGTCACAGTTTAAACGCATACCAAAGCCAAGGGATGATACGGACAGTGATGACGATAATGAGAGAGAACGTCATCAAAAGAGGAACAATACCATCACACTACCAGCAGCGACAAATGTTGGACATCAAGATCAAATACCGACACGACGATCGAGCCGAGTCAGAGGAAAACCTGATAGATTTGGACATTCAGTATATGATTGAATTATGTTTTGTTAAATGTTAATATTGTTTTAAAAAAAAAGGGTGATGTAATATACATAACTGCTATTTATAGATAATTAAGTTTGGACAATAGAATATTAGAACTGATTGACAGTTAGGGATAGACAATAATATAGAAAGTGTATGAGAGCGAGAAAGAGTCAGAGCACATGAAAAGTAATATATCTGTAACATAATATAAATAAAACAAATCTGTAATATAATATAAATCTTAAGGGTGGTTTGCAACACCGTACCAGTAACGTACTAACCAACTGAAAATATGAAAATAACAAGGTAAATTCGTAAACCATAAGTTCGAAAAATCCAGCTGACTTGAGCTGACTCATAACTCATTGACTCACAACTCATAGACTGATTTGACTCACAAAACAGGCGTTCTCATGAGAATCAGGCTTAAGGGCAAACAAAGATGTCGTGACCAGCGGATCTGGTACCGTAGGAACGCAGTGAAAAGTGATTGGAAGAACCACATTTTTCCCAATTGTTTCGACATTGCTGGAATTCTTGGAGAGGAATGACCACAATAGGAAAATTCAAATCAGTGAGCGCCACTGTTGCAGTCTTGAGGAAAACTTTCAAAACATAAAACTATCCACCCCCTCTCCTCCCTCAGCGATCCCTGGATGATTTTGAATATCTCACGGGTGTAATTTGTGAACGCAAAATGCATCTTGCCTGAAAAAGAGACTCTTTCTTATCTTCAGAATTTTAATAATTATCCCAGCCTCAAACTAGCTCAAAAAATACATTTATAAAGCTAACTGATCTACGGTCCGATGCTGGCAGAAAGCCAAAAACCATTCTGTCTGCAATCTGTTGGAAATTTTCATAAACGTTCACAAAAAAAGATACAAATATCCAGTTTACTCAGACCATGTTTTGATCCTGTCTCCAGATGAATATTGCTCATGGCAGGGTTGGATAAATAATGTAGCCAAATAGAGTCATTTTATTAGTTTTTAACAACCCTGGTACTTGCATGGTATAATTACCTCCAAGTTGATATCACACAAGACAACTTTAGGGATGTAAGACAAACACCGAAATAAGAATTTCAACAACAGTCAACAAAGTGAAATCATGAAATGGTTTACAAAATTACAAATCTATACAAATTACAATAAATGGCAAAAGCCTATGATTAAATATCAAGCAGATATGTACTTGTGTGCACCAGACACCTTCTAAGTCATAATATCCTATTTCAACACTTGATATTAGTTTGCTTACAGATCAATATAGTTGCGTGTTCGTTTATTAAAAACACCACGTTTTATTAGTTAACAAAACAAAGCTCTCCCATTCGTATGCCTTATACAGATATTTCATTCTCATAGAAAATATTCACATCAGCTGAATCTCCACTCGGGGAATTTATTCGCGCGACGCGAACCGGAATCTAAAAAGCGGTGATTTGATTGGTCTGCGAAGAAATTCGCCGCGAAAATGTAGGATCCCTTTCTAATTCTGTATCAGTACGTTCGCGCGAATAAATTCTGCAAGTGGAGAACGGGATTTAATGGGAACTTAGCGTTTGGGAATTAAAAAGTTTGCAGATTTTTTTCTATAAAAAATACTACAGATGTATTGAAGATATCATCATTGTTTTGTTTAAGTATAAAATGGTCCATCAACTGCTAGTTGCTTAATATCGTTCAACAAAGGATTTTGTGGAATAACACCTTTGTAGTTAGGAAAAGCCAGCATGGTCTCTTTTGGGGAAAGCTTAATTCTTTGTCCTGACTCATAAACCTTTAAATATCGTTGGTAGGTATGGTAGAGAATCGCGCCAGAGTCCATGTCAAAAAATATTATCAGCTGATCAAATAAAGTTATATATAATACAATTCCTCTCTTGTGAATACAAAATGACCTGGTGAACGAATGAGCAAAATTGAATCTAGACGCTATATTTTGAGAATCACCAGTGCCCAGATCAATTATCTGACTCTGATCATTACTACTGTCGCCCATGACTACTACTTCGACTTCGGGGTCATTACTGAAAATTACAGCTGATTTTCTGCGAACACCATCACGGTGATAAAAGACTTCATAGGAAGTAGGTTTTTCGGTATTTCTTTTCCAAATATAACATTTATAGTTATTAGACATTCTCATTTAATGGGTATAAACAACCAGCGAGGAACCAAACATTTAAGAAAACTTTGTGTAGATTGCGCTAAAAGTAGTCTAAAGCTTTTTCCGCAAGACGACTTTATTCCGGTTAAAGAAAGGATTGACTACAGCACCTCGCTTAATATCGTCCAACAAAGCAACTGTCCGTCGCTTAATATCGTCCAACAAAGGATTTTGTGGAATAGACAGTCGAAGAAACACCATATCACCTTTGTAGTCAGGAAAAGCCAGCACGTCCTCTTTTGGGGAAAGTTTAATTCTTTGGCGTGGCATAAAAGTCTCCAAGTATCGTTGATAGGAAGTGTTGAGAATCGCGCCAGAGTCCATGTCAAGAAATGTTATCAGGTGACGAGATATAGTTAATATAATTCTACTCTTGTGAATACAAAATGACTCGCTAAAATCATAAGAGGACTTGAATTTAGAAGCTATATTTCGAGAATCACCAGTGTTCAAATCAATTATCTCACGCTTATCTCTCTCCATGACTACAGCGACTTTGGAATCATAACTGAAAACTGCGACTGACGTCCCGCGAACATCATCACGGTGATGAAAGACTTCATACGAAATTGGTTTTTCGGTATTTCGTTTCCAAATATAACATTTATTCTTATTACAACCAGAGATAAAGGCACCACCAGGCGAGATTTCCACTTTCATCTCAGGCTCAATTCCAGGCAAATTGAGCATTACAGGACCATCAACATCTCTGACATCGAGAACTATCGCGGGTTTGAAGCCTCCGAGCGCAAAGCTGACAAAGCCTTCAGAAAAACCAACCTCTAAATCTAGGAAACGAAACCAGCCCTCTTGCCTGAACTCAGACAAGTCTTCAGAAAAATTCTCTAACGCCACGTCCTTGCTGTCAGTAAACAAGATCTCTAGATTGTCATCTACCGGGTATCGCATTAATTTGGGAATCTCGTCAATAGATTCCCTAATAACAAACAAGAAATTTTCCGACCACCAGCATAAAAACCTTGACCCACATTGATTGCTTTTAAAACGTTGTTCAACTTGGCTGGTATAGACATTCCATACGTTTATATATCCATCTGAGTTGCAGGATGCAAGTCGAGAGCCGTCAGGAGAAAACGAACTCGAATAAACTTTCGTTAGCTGTGACAGACAGGATTGCTCTTGTTTAGGAGCTAATGTCTTAAAGACAATTAGTTTTTCATAATCTGAATAGAGCCACAGATTATATTCTAAAGCTGGTATTTTAATTGCTTGAGAGTAAAAACGGTGAGCAGGGGCGGCAGCAAAATAGTTCCAAGCAACAATCGCAGTCAAAGGAATGCTTTCTGTGTCAGTCGAATAACAAAATTCTTCCCAAGAAAAATTACACTCCACACCTTTGCAGATCCACGGACAAGAAATTGTATTAGGATAATTCCAACGTTTCCATATTTTTAACCGTTTAGAATTTGGTTTCCTAATTCCCCGCTGAAAACATCGTTCACATTTCCTACTCTTTAACACAACTGGTTTCTTCCTTTCCCCGTGAGATAATTTTCGCTTATCACTTCTTTGCAATGTGATGGCGTTCCAAACACACAACGAATAACCCGGATAAGATTGAGATTTAGAATTTCCAATAATAAATAACCCTGTGACGCTAAAAGAACACCGACGAACGGGAAATCCAGCACAAAGCGACGACAGCAGCGTTTGTTTAGCAACGTCCCATAGTTTAATGCTGTTTGAACCGTCGCTAGTCACCAGTCTTTTGCCGTTAGGGGAAAATTTACAGCACGCGAACTCCTCATCATTTCCAGGGAAAAATGGAACTTCCTTTCTTCTAGCAATGTTAAACGCCGTTTCAAGTTTACCAAATAATATGAGCGAATCGTCTGGAGAGAATGTACAGCATGGAATAGTTTCCAATTTTGTTGAATAACTCATTATTTCAACTAAGCTTGGTAGGGATATCACATCGATAAAATTATGTACTACAATTGCTACACTTTTCTTATCGTTAGATAAAGCAACAGCTGTAATAAAACCAACGTGATTGTGTCCCCAGACTGCTCGCGGCAGAACCGAAACATCGTAAGAATTCGACTCGACAAAAGGTGAAAGGTTTGATAGTAGCGTCTCAGCGATTTTCTTCTCATTATCGCTGAAATAACCTTCTGGAGAACGGGTAAGAACCGCTTGTAAATACCATTGTGACAATATTGCCGAAAGAACTTGTTCTAAATAATCGCCATATTCATACAGGGGTTCCAGGGTAAGTTCAAAAGACTCAAATTCAATGACATGGTACGAAATGCGGCCGCGTAAAACTTCGTTTTTAATCCAGGAACATTGCAGTAATGTGAGCCAGGGACGCAGCAAATCACGTAAATCGATTATTACAGTTAACATATAACATACGATAATAACATCAACTGACCAAAACACACCTTCTTCCATTTTACACTTTTCTAGATGTTTTAAACCATATTTTAGAGCGTATTTTACGTCATGAGTAAACTTCACCTCACGTCCTGAGCGAACATTTTCCACAATTTCTTTAAAAACCTTTTCACATAAAAGCCAAAGCGATCTATGTCCATCATCGACCTTGACAGTATACTGGTGATCTTTGTAGCCCTTTGCTAGAAGCCAATCAATAAAGGATTTGTGAAAAACGGTTACCATGTCATTTGAAACGTACAACAAGCACGATACGGTTTCATTAATTTTGTTGATGATGTCTTTCGTTTCGCGACAATCTGGAGCTAAACCAAAAGCCTGAGCGACGAAAGTTAGGGGAAGAGGTCCTTCGGAAGCAGCGAGCATTGCAAAAATATTCAACACATCAAACTTTTCGTGTTTTATGGTGTTAAGCTCGTCTTCAAGGCGTTTAAAATATCGTTCGTAAACAGAATGCAGACCTTCTGGGAGAAACCCTATGACGTCATTATTTGTTATCTTCTTAAGATCATAGCGAGCCTTTAGCCCAGATTGAAAGTGATATGCATAGAGAAATGAGCCTTGGCATTTGGCAACAAAAATGGAAAGTAATTTATTTTGCTTGCGGACTAAACTTGGGAAACATTCTTTAAAATAAAGTTCAAGATCTAAGTTATTGTTGTCATCAACATTGGAAATGTCTGTCTTTTGATCGTCTCTTAGTCTCAGATCAGCAACGGAAATTTCTGGCCTGCTCGTCACCAAGATTTTGATGTACTCGGGAAGATCAGGAAAATATTCAGCAATCAAATGCGTAATTTCATTCTTATTATCTGCAGCACTTTCATCCAAGCCATCGATCACGACTAAACGTGGCTCTTTTATTTCCAGTTCAGCTAAGGGATTTTGCAAATATATTTGGAAGGCATCTTTGAGGTTTTTGACTTGGTGCGGTCGCTGTAACTGATCAAGGAGCTGCTTTTTAAAACCAGTGATGCTCTTGCACATCTGACTTGCGAGAGACTGGAGCATCACCATAGGATCTCTTAGGTTTGAGTCACTGAAATCACAAAAGTGACAAGCAGCCAGCTTTCCATTCTTCTCAAAATCTTCACAGATTTTAGCGGCAAACACGCTTTTACCAAATCCTGGTCCAGCTGTTATTAACTTTATGCGTGAATCACTCTTACTGCTACAAAACCATTCGTCAACTTCCTTTAACAGCCACTGTCTTGTTCCAGGAAGGAAAAATTCTACTTTTCTTTGAATTTTATTCCTGAAATTATGCTTAGCAAGTTTTCGTAATAAATCTTCATCACTTTCCATGCGGGATTTTTTTTTAGGAATGGTGTCCCCGGGTATTGATACCGATCGTTTGGACAATGAATGGCGGATTTCAATTACTGCATCGTGCGTTTTATATACTGCTTCCCGCGTTTCTTTTACTTCATCGCGCGATTCATTTAGTCCATCGCGCGTTTCTTCAGCGACTTGTGTTAAATGATTTACAGAACATTCAATTGTTCGAAGCTTTTTAATACACTCATCTTCTCGCAATTCCCAATATTTAAGCATTTGCACATATATTTTTTCTTCGGGTCCTAAAGGACATTTTTCCAAATCGTCGACATCGCTTTGTGCAATTCCCAATTCTACCAATGTCTGGGCAATTTTCTTCCATAAAGATTGAAATGTTGAATTCTCAACTCGAGTTGTTGTTACATGTGCAATAACGTCATTTCGGTAACACTTGATTCTTGTGATATTCGCTTGCGTTGATCTATCAGTATCCGGAGGCATTACACTCCATCCTGTTGATGGAAAACCACAAATGTTCCGGAGTAGAATTGTAAGTAATGTGACATCAAAGGTTTTGGAATCTGGAGGGTTGCCAGACGGAGGAAACAGTAAATCCCACTGCGAAATATTAATAACCCGAGGTTTTAACTTTTGAAGAGATCTTTTGTTTCTATATAGAACTCCGGGTAGACTAACAGGTAGATGGATGGTATCAAATGTATTTCTCAAAGCCTCAGTTCCTTTGTCAACTAAAAGTTTACTGAGTCTTGTAAAATTTGCTTTTTCTTGCAGCTCGTCAGAAGCCATGGCGTAGAACACGGTTGATTACTGTAACAAAACGGTTGTACTAATTATATATGCTACACTGAGAAAAAGAATGGGATGGAGTAGATTTTCATACAAGAAAGTCGCAAGGATCTTGTTAAACAAAGGGATTTCTTGTGAAAATGATTTTGTGAAGAGACATATGTTTCAGGAGTAACCTTTCTGACTTGCTACCACCCATATGACAAACTCACATGAACTTAATTTTAGAATTTCAATAAACATTTTGTTGTCTTATTTGTGCCTGGAAATGGGATTTCTCTTGATATTATAAATTTTGAAAGCCTGTTCTCATTTATAGACATGGTATGATCTGAATGTATTTTGATGCTAATATCAAAATAATTTATAGACATAGCATGATCTGAATGTATTTTGATGAAAATATCTCGTGTATTTAAGATCTATTGCTACTCGATTTTTTTTATTTTCGCTTGCAAACTGTCGTTGAAGTCTTTTATAAATTCCATTTAATTCAAGCGATAATTTTGAAAAGCTGTTTCAGCAAACTCTCGATCATTTATTTTTCCAAATAACACTTCATCCCATAAAACATTTCTCTTCTCAGACTAGTGGCTGTGCCTCCTCAGCATGTAATCAGTTAAGCTGAATTATTATTATATTTTCGTAAGTCTATGCAGTACTATTAGGCGCTCGGGGATCGAGTCTGTTAAAATATAAGGATCGAGTCTATTAAAATAAAACTGTATTGATCGATCCTTAATCTCAAAACAACTAATCTGCCTTATTTGGTGTTTATATAGTGTTTGATTATTGTCAGGTTTTAGCCCCTGAGCCTCGCAACCGTGTTATGAATTATTTCTATATTGCATTGATTACCGGTTCATTTAACATGACGTCACAGTTCTGTACTATGCCACTCAATAGAATACAATAGACACTCATACTGTTAATATTCGAAGAACGTAATGACGTCACAGCTCTGTACTGTGCCAATCAATAGAATACAATAGACACTCATATTGCTAATATTCGAAGAACGTAACCAACACTGACACAAACGTACCTTCTCAAATCTTCAAAGCGATGATTCCACTACATGGTCAAAATTTTCAGGGAGGATAACGGACAGATGGACTGAAATGTAGATTTAAAACCTAGAAAAAACAAATTCTGATTGTAGCTTTAACCCACCCAATCAGCGGCTAGAATGTCATCTGAGTGAGACAAAGGAGACAAAACTGAATAATTTCCGTCATTTTTTAATAAGAATCATGACTTCTTATTAACTGAGCGCGAGGTCTTTACCGAGAAATATCGGACCGAGGTCTTTTTGAACAGACCGAACTCGAATTAAGAGCCAAGTTTGTACAAAAAGATTGAGGTCCGATAATTCTCGGTAAAGACCGAGCAGGCAAGGTTAATAAAAAGTTTATTAAATGGCACAAGGCATATATTTTCACTTGAAACAAAAAAGAAATACATGAATTCGTATTAGTAGCCTGGTAGGCCTTTGATAAAAAGAAAAACAAAATATTTCTATTATTGAATTATTTAGTTTACCTAAACTGTCTGGAGACGTCTTATTCATTTCAAAAGCAATTATATACGTCATCAGTCTACGTCACTACGGAGTACCATGAGAAGCACGCACGCGCTCGCTTTTCTAGCCATTGTACACACGCTTTCTTAGCCGCAACATTAAATTTCTCCATCGCTGAAGATTTGTTAAAAAGCAACTTCGCATCCTTCAAACTTACTCTTCTAGCAAGACTTAGAGTAATTTGGCTTACTTAGAATAAGAGACTTAGAGTAACATAGAGTAATTTGGTGAAGGTTTATTAGTTAGTCCTTTTCAGGCTTTATTTCACAATTTAGCTTTTTGCAGGATAAGTCGGATAACACAAAATATTGTCATGAATCCGACCAACAGTGATACTCAATCTTCTGAAAACCCCATGACTTTAGGTCAACCTGATCATGTTGACTGCCTAAAAGGCCAGACCACCAGCATTAATTACTCTTTGATGATGATTTTGCTAAACAAGTGAGAGATGCCAAAGAAACGAGTAATATAAGCCAAACCCTTGGCGCTAGCCGAAATAGGCAAGCCCGAACCAATCGTCCAACATATCGACCCGATAATCGTTTCACTAATTCTCGTCCACCGAGAAACAACAATTCTGACTATCGGGCTGACAACAACAGGCCTCATTTTTTGGGGAAGGGCCAGAAAAAACTGATGTTCAAAAACAAACCCGGCAGGAAATCTTGAGTACTCTCAAACAGATTAAATTATCGGTAAGCCAATTTCCGCTTATTTTTGACCGTTTAACAAACTACTTACGACTTTGATGGGACACTTTCCAGGCTGGCAATGTTAAAAACTCTATTTCACCCTGGAAAAAGTTAACTTCTAAGCCAGGAATCTTGAACACTGTGACAAGCACCATCATCAATTTGATACTCCGACAATAACACGCACATGTCCTAAAATCCCATTTTCGATCAAGGAATCGGATATTATAGAACAGGAAATTGCAAAATTGGTTGCTAAAGTTATTATTGAGGTCACCGCCCACACTCCAGGCTAGGTCGTGTCCAATATTTTTATAAGACCGAAAAAAGAAGGCAGCCGCAAGCTAATATTAAACCTTAAAGGCCTAAATCAATTTGTTTTTATCATCATTTCAAAATGGATACCCTACACTTTATACTGAAACTGATAGAACGAGGTTGCTTCATGGCTTCGCTCGACCTTAAAGACGTATATTATTCGGTCTCTATCAATCATCCTGACTGCAAATACCTTCGCTTTGTTTGGCAAGGAGTTACAATACAATACAATAAAGATTTATTCACAATGAAACTGAAATTTCAGTTACAGTTACAGAGGAAAAGGAAAGTTTGAGGTTATCCCTATATTAAAACTTCCCTAAAATTCTATATCAATTCACTTGTTTGCCAATTCGGTTGTCAAGTTGCCGACGGACATTCACAAAATTACTAAAACCCCCTTTGACTGCCCTCCACAAATTGGGCCATATCATTGCTAGTTATATCGACGATCTTTTCCTTCAAGGTAACACCTTTGAACAATGTGTATCTAATGTTATCGATGTTGTCTTTTTACAATTCAACGACCTGGGTTTCTCAGGAACTGATTTTATTTGGTTTCAAAATTAATTCTGTCGACATGCAATAACCCCAACATCAGAGAAAAAATTAGCCTTACGACAACTATGCGTGTCTTTACTATCAAAACATAGGCCTACTATTCGAGAGGTTGCGGAAGTTATTGGTAAGATCATTTCATCATTCCCGGGCGTAGCGCATGGGCCTCTATATTATAGAGCTCTAGAACGTAACAAAACTGAAGCCCTCAAATCATGTAGCGGACACTTTGACGCACACATGTCCTTATCTGAAGAATCAAAACTTGAACTTCACCAACAATATAGCTGAGTCAGAAAATGTTATTTCGCGAGGTAAACCGTCCCATGTGCTCACAACAGATGCCTCCCTCACTGGCTGGGGAGCGGTCTACGAGGGCAATCGCACCGGGGGATTTTGGACAAATGACGAAAAATTATGCCACATTAACTATTTGGAGTTACTAGCGTTGTTCTCCATATTCGTGTCTACCTTGATAACACGACCACAATTTCAGTAATTAACCATATGGGTACTAGTCACTCTCCAAATTGCACACTTATCACTCGTGGTAATTTCCTAGTCTGTGGCAGCTAAATTGACATATTTTTGTCATTCATTTTGTGCTCAATATGACGACACAAATGGCATAATATCTCAATTTTGTCCCCGCAAAATGTGCAAGTCAAAATTGTTATGTGAGTGTTAAGTGCAGCAGTGTGCGACGAAGAAAACATTTAGTTTGGTCTAATGCATAAACTGTAAACTTACAGTACGCGAAAATTGTTAATACACCATTTGCCCTTCATTAAACAAAAAAAGAATGGCATTAACATAATTTAAAATATTCAGAAAAAAAAATCGGAATTTCAATAGCGCATTTTGTGCAAGTCAATAAGCGTAAAAAGATATCCAATAGTAACAATTTGCTTGGTCATGCATTAAAACTGAAAACCATTAATCAAAGATGGAAATTCAATAAGAATACAAAGCACATTCAAAAACACAAAAGACGTTTTTCTTTGGACACAAGAAACGTTCAATTACAGAATAATGTAATTTTAACAAGAACATGGGTTTATTGACAAGCAGGGGCGGTTGTATCAAGCTTGTTTACTTAAATGGATTAGTCAAAATTAAATAACACGATATTTTGTCTCTCGTGAATCAGTTAACTTAAATATTCTGCCGCATTTCTGTCGGCAAAGCGTTCTTGCATAACAGGGCGTGAAATGTCTGCTTTAATGCTGGCCTTCAGGCAACTTATCGCTTGCTCGACAATATTTAGGAATGGTGAGTATGGTGGCAATTGGCGTAGATGTACGTTGTCTCTTGGCTGCTCGGGTCGGCGATGTGCTGGTGCTCCATCAAAAATGAGATATTGAGTTTCATTTTCATCAAGATGGGCAGCAGTACCTGCAAGAAACTCAGTGAAGGAATCTCTGGTCATCCCACCAACCTGAATGGTGTGATGCACCAAACCAAACACTTGAGATACCGCGAGGCAAATGGTAAGATTGCGTCCCTTCTGCCCGCATACTTGGCGATAAGTACAATAAGCACGCTCTCCAACTCGAGCCCGTCCTTGACTTCTGGCTGTCCATATATTGAAGCCACATTAGTCGATTAATACAGGATGATGAATATTCGCCTCCTCTAAAAACCAGTTAGCATATTCGTGCATGGCGTCCCTCGATAACATCTGGCGTATTACGATCAGCTGGAAGTATTCGCAATAGCTTTAACGAGTATAGCTTTCCATCCAAATGTTTACCAATAGTTCTTTCATGAACTTGTGGCTTCTCAGGCATTCGACGTCGTAATTCTGCATTTATGGCCCGTAGTGACAAAGTGCAATCTTCATCTACTATTCTTTGCACACATCTTGTCATGTCTGCGTCAAATCGAACATTGAGGCGTCCTCCACGTGGTTGTTCTTCACTTCGTCCTTCTCGCAGATATCGAGCAACTATACTCCTGGCAGTTGAACAATTTATTGCTAAAGTTTCAGCCAAAGCCAGGTAGTCTTGATCCTGTTCTTCGAATGCTCTAACCAACCGTTCTTTGTCTTGTTGTGATATTCTCCGACGTTGTGCCATTCTGACAGTACTTCAACGTATAACAAACTCGCAAAAATGCCCAAGATGATGTTGAAAGAAACGATTTTTATCGAAGATTCCCAATGCAAATGAGTAACTAACCAAAAATTTGATTGGATCATTTTCCGGTTGCGCAACGCTTTTTTACGAGTATATATTTGTGTTCATAACAACCTTAACGAAATTATTTTATTCTCTAATTGAAGGTTTATTGTGTTCAAACGAAAATGTATTTTGCGTTTTTGAATGTTCTTTGTATTCTTATTGAATTTCCATCTTTGACTAATGGTTTTCAGCTTTAACACATGACCGAACAAATTGTTAATATTGAATATCTTTTTACGCTTATTGACTTGCACAAAATGCGCTATTGAGATTCCGATTTGTATTTCTGAATATTTTAAATTATGTTGATGCCATTCTTTTTTTTGTTTAATGAAGGGCAAATGGTGTAATCACTAGGACATATATATTATTGAATTTAACTACAAATTTCATACGTCATTGTAAGACAGTAAAATTTACGAATTTATAGCTTTATTAATTTCAACCAGTGAAGAGGGATGCGAGTTGCGTTGTCTAGTGCTCTTTGTAAATACTTCATTTTACTGACTTCATGTCGTGTTGGACTAGCGATATGAAGTAGCTATAATTGTATAGATTCTTTCATCTTGCATATTACATCATCTCCTTAAATATCAACAGTGTTTAAAATTTCCTACCTCAAACTTGGTTAAACGAATCACCATAAACGATCATTAAAGATGACAACTTGAATAAGATATTTTTCTTCACATGATAAAACTTCTTATTTCTAAAAGAAACCACATCATGATGTAATTCCACACAACTTAAGATAAAGTTACTCCACAGCTTATTTGTTAAACACGATGGTCTGGTTAGTAATTGTCCAGCAAGTTAATACGTGGCTTTAGAAACCAACAATGCGTGAGATGAGAAAACTTAAGATATCAAACAAAGCCAGTTTGAAGCTTTTAATACGACGCCAGAGCGCTGTGCCGTGGTTATTTAATTTGTCGACCTAAAGCTTACTTCGTGTGATAGTTGTCAATCAAGTCGTTTTATTGCTTCAAATTTGAAGGATTTCTTTGCAAGAAGTATATATATATATACTTTTAGCTTTTTTAGGCTTTTCAAAGGCTTGTTATTGTGATATAAACAGACTATAATTTCTTGGTTGAACGCCTCTGCAGAAGGAAAGGAACAATTTGATAGCAGAATAAGCTAAGACTTGTACAAGAATCTGGTTGGTCAGAATGAAAAAACAGGATTATTGTTAAAACATAAAGTTCTATTCAAAGCGCTAGTTCTTGTCAGATGAAACATATGTTCAGATAAATGTGGCATATTCATTACGCACCATGACGTAATTCCACCGCCTTTATGTCAATATTATTACGGTCACGAAAAACAATTTGCTAAAGCGAGGTTATTGACAACCAACATGATATGTTATAGTAAAACGAATGAAGGATATTAAAAACGAAATTTACGATTGATTTTATTCAAGGTTTTGCTGAACGTTATAATATCACGCCACAGCGCTGTGCCGGGCCTAGCATACTTCCGCTGCATGTTGACGATATAAAATTATTCACAAACTTCAAGAAAGAGACAAAAACGTACCGATGGCTACGAAATCTGATAATTCACGACGTAGACATAATTCCACAGATTTAGGCCACAAATAATATGATCAACGCAAAGAAATGTTCAGAAATCCAGCAGACAAGAATAAACCAAACACTCTGATGGTATCCTGCTGGTTAAATTGTTCAACTCAATGTTGTAAAATACCCGTGGTGTTAAATGCATCGACCTAATGCGCGTAATTACTTAGTATTACTGATTTCATCTTGTGTGGAGATCTCTGATATATATTTTGAAAGCTGGTAAAACCAGAACTAACGTTGACTTCAAACATTGAGTTCAACACCAAGTACTTTAAATATAATCTATCGATATTTTACTGAAAAAGCCAATTCAAAACTAATGAAACATTGTCAATAATATCAATGCACCCACACAAACATATTAACACATGCATTTTTTAGAGGAACGTTGACACTCGAAAATCTCGCATGAGTAAATGATACTTGCTGATAATCCCAACACTTTCTAGTGCTCGATGATCAAATAATTTCATGTGAAATACTTTTCATTCAATATTTATCGGTAGTTTTATAGATATTTCCGTTCCAACTTAAATTATGTTTATATTTGGTTAGTTATTGCTGTTCCAATATCAGCTGTATATAGCCTTAAATATCAGCTGAAATGAATTTCTGAAGACAACAATGAGCTGGTGATAAATTTATGCAAAAATTAAAACATAAAAACGATTCGAAGGCGCTGTCTTCTGCCTATAATTGATTGTCGCAGTCGTCGAAGAATTAGCGAAAGCTAATGGAGTCAATTTGACAGTGGAATAAACAGTTTGAAACTAGTGACATATAAACAGGACGACGGTTGAAATGGTTGATATGTTCCTCAGATAAAACAAATATAAATGTGCCAATTACTAGCATAAATGACGCGCTATGACCTAATATCTGAGCCCCAACAACAATTCACTTTTACTACAGTTATAAAAGACAAGTTTGCTGAAGCCAATCGGTTCATTATTGCCAACCAACATGATATGCTATAGTAAGAGGGATAAAGGATATTTCGCAGCAAGATTTTGGATTTTATTGAAGGATTTACTAAACGTTTTAACATGACGCGAGAGCGCTGTGCCGCGTGTCTAGCATACTTCGCTGTTGACGAAGTAAAATGATTTATAATCTTCAAGAAAGAGACAAGTACGTACCTTTATCAATTCTTGAAACCCATAATCCAACTACGTCGCCATAATTCAGCGAGATTTAAGTCAGAACCAAACCAAATAGACGCTAAGAAATGTACACAAACCTAGCAAACAAGAATACACCAAACACTCTGATGATATCCTGCTGGTTATTTAATGAACTCAAGTCATGCATTCGAAATTGTCGGTGTGTGTTTGTGTCATACAGGGTGTGTCAAAAACACTATAATTTGCATAAGTTGATATTGCAGAGAACATTTCAATATCCGTGCGACTAATTATACTTCTAATATTTGACGTATTTGACATTAGAATAACCACACAAGGTTCAATTACAGAATATCCAAGCATGGATTGTGTTCATCTAAAACGCTCTGCAGAATTTGTTAATATTCCTTATTACTGAATTTGTCTTGTGTGGGCGAAATCTTCCTCATTGAAAGCTAGGATCCTCCTCGTATGGAAGTTACCAGAGATTTTCTGCCGTGCAGATCTATACACAAAATGTGCTGTTTCAAAGCTATTTGTGTAGCCTCAGAAACATAAATGCGCAGTTACCAATTAAATAGAGGATTAGTAAAAAAAGCCTTTATCTGATATTTAATCAATATCAGAATATCAGTAGCGGACCAAGGCAAGAACCCATGCACGGAAACTCCATTTACTTAGCCCCGTTTATAGAACAAACATTTTTGGTACGGCACGCTTAATTTTTTCAAGGCAGGTCAAAAGAAATTGGCTCCGTAACTAAGCCTGTTCACGCGTTAATTTTTTTAAGGCCTGAGGTATACCACCTAAGGTATACCACAAAATTTTAGAAAGCACCCAATAGAATATTTTTGGCGCGCATAACCACACCGCAGTTGCTATATAAGTCAGCAGATTAACAAAGCACAGATGCATGAATTGAAGCAAATGAACATGGTTTAGTTGACAAAATAATGGAAATAAAGACTACTTGTTAGATCATCTGGTAATCATGCCATAAAGGCCTTCTAAAAAATTTATCCTTCGAACAAAAAACTGATTGATCTGCGCATGATCAACAATAAAAAATTGCTGATGAAATCAAAGAACATTCGAGGCCGACCCTCGCTCAAATCCGATTCAAAATTGCTGATGCAACTCAATATTTTCGGCACGGTGTCCATGCTTTGACAGGTCGAGAACAATTTTTAAAGCGGTCTGGGCACGGATAAAATGACTGCATGGTCTGTGGACTTATATTATGCTTGTTTATGGAACAAAATTTAAGTGCCGTGCCATTTTCTGCCATCGTGCAAAAAATTAAGCGTTCCTGGCCAAAAATGCTTGTCGTGTAAATGAGGCTTTAGTCACTGCATGGTCATGGCCACCAATTATTAATATATGGCGGACTATCAGTGACATACGAGAACCAGTGAACTAGGCTTGAAGCCTGGTTTTCATATGTCACCGACAATTGGCGAAGGATATTGTTAGAGATCACTGGAGAATAAAGTGCTGTGTTATTTTCCATAAATTTTCATGGTTATTGGTTATCAACAATACATCACCGACTGTCGGTGGTTAATAACTTAAGCCAGGTCGATGGTTATTGTTGGCGAATGGAGGAGAATAAAGGGCTTTCTTATTTGAAACAAATTTCGTCACCATGCAGCCACCACCTATCATCGCTGACTGTCGGTGACATATGAAAACGAGGCTTATGAAGCGACAGATGAAACTACACGTTCTGTCTTTCAGAAAACAAATTTACCTTGCTTGTATTATAAGACAATGGTAATTCATCCATTGAGATAAATTCAGCGGTTAATAATAATGAAGTGACGATTTTCAATATGCAATAAACGCATTATTCAAGAGAAAGAAATTATATTATGACAAACGTCGCTCTGCCGGAAAGACCTCGTCAGCAAGTGTCTCCCAAAATGTAGGAAATCAAGTCAAAGAGATTCAGAAATACAAAAACATTTTCTGGGAGAGGTGCTTCAAACCCCCCACAACTCCTGCATCTATAAATGATCAATTTCTATAGTTGGAACTATTTGGTTCAGCTTCCCACCCAAAACCTCACCTAACAATTTCCTAGAAAGACTTCGCGTTCACGTATATCACGTAATTGGTTTATTTGTTTTCACCTGTTGTTTCCTTTATTTTCTCGAAGGTAATAATGATTCAGCTAATTTATTGAGCCAATCTGGCAACCCTGGTTCTTGGTGTAATTACCTCCAAGGTGATATTTCGCCAAGGTGATATCACACCAGAAAACTTTTACACTCATTCACTGCGCGTTATATAAGAACGTTAACAACAACAGATATAGAAAATTAGAAAATTCAACAACTGAGTGAAATATGTAATAAAATGGTTCACGATTTACAAATGACTACAAATCTATACAAATTACAATAAATGCTGGCAATAGCCTAAGATTAAATATCAAGCAAATATGTACTTGTGTGCACCAGACACTTTCTATAAGTCATAATATCCTATTTCAACACTTGATATTAGTTTGCTTACAGATCAATATAGTTGTGTGTTCGTTTATTAAAGACACCACGTTTTATTAGTTAACAAAGCAAAGATCTCCCATTCGTATGCCTTATACAGATATTTCATTCTCATAGAAAATATTCACATCAGCTGGGTCTCCATTCGAGAAATTAGAAACCTTAAGCATGTAGGACGGCAACACGACGACGACGTGGTTGGAATACTCCTTTAAATAAATGTTATGATAAAGCGTTTTTCTATATTATCAACTGTACCAATTTAATGAGATATAAGACGTTGAAAACATCGTGTTTACGTTTAGGGACTAATTCGAGGTAGCGCTCACTGGGTCCTGAAATGCAGATGTTCTACATAGGACGTAATAAACGTCCTAAACGTTCCACAGGTATTAAATAATTCATTTCTTTTCAATGAAGCATTGTATTGATAGCTGCCGTCGTCGTGTTCCCGTCCTACAAGCTTAAGGTCCCTATTTATTCGCGCGACGCGAACCGGAATCTAAAAACCGGTGATGTGATTGGTCCGCGAAGAAATTCCCCGCGAAAATGTAGGATCGCTTCCTAATTCTTTATCAGTTCGCGCGAATAAATTCTGCAAGTTGAGAACGGGATTTAATGGAACTTAGCGCTTGGGAATGAAAAAGTTTGCGGATTATTTTCTACAAAAAGTACTACAAAAACGTGTCTAGGAATAATCATGTCTTACAAATTTCTTAAAATTCTTCTTCTGGGTCAATTAAGGCCTGTTTCAAACGTCGTTCTTCTTTCAAGTGTTGTTTCGTGACCTTCTTTTTCATGAACATCAGATGTCTTCAACATAATATTATTCAAATTTCAGTCAAATTTTCAAAATCTTCCAGCTCCGCTTCAGACTATAAATATCTTCCTTCCCAGCTAATAAACGAACGTTCTCTGTAATGTACCTAGCATTTGTAGTTCATTAGGGACGATGATTGAGGTGATGTTTATTCATATATTCCGTTCTGCCCGACAGATTTCTATTCTAAGATTGCAGATGTATTGAAGATATCATCTTTGTTTTGTTTAACAAACTGTAACCCCAGTTAGGGAGGCAAGGGAGTGCTATCACTTGCCCAAGGTGAACTCCCAGACAAACGGAGGGAAGGAGGTGTCTTACTTCTCCATTCTAGACCAGCTCCAAGCAAAGTCTAGCTGTTGTCCCAAAACAATGTTCTTGATGATAGTTTTCTAAGTCTTCTCCTATTGGTTTTCGTCCTGGTCTGAACGTGTTCATTTCAGTTATTTTTAAGAATGAAGACATTCTCAATTAATGGGTATAAACAACCTGCGGGGAAACAAACATTTAAGAAAATATACACCTTTGTGTAAATCTTCCTAAAAACTTTTTCCGCGAGACGACTTTATTCCAGTTAAAGAAAGATTGACTACTAAATACTATTTCGCTAAATATCGTCCAACAAAGAAAGTTATTGTTTAATATCGCCCAACGAAGCAACTGCCCGTCGCTTAATTTCGTCCAACAATGCATTTTCTGGAATAGACAGTCGAAGAAACACCATATCACCTTTGTAGTTAGGAAAAGCCAGCATGGTCTCTTGTGGAGAAAGTTTAATTCCTTGGATTGACTCATCAAACGTCAAGTATCGTTGATAGGAATGGTCGAGAATCGCGCCAGAGTCCATGTCAAAAATTGTTATCAGGTGATCAGATACAGTTAATACAATTCCTCTCTTGTGAATACGAAATGGACTGGTGAACGAATAAACAAACCTGAATTGAGACATTATATTTTGAGAATCACCAGTGTCCAGATCAATTATTTGACTCATTTGAGCAACAAAGTGCATGACTACTGCGACTTTGGAGTCATTACTGAAACTTACTGCGAAATTATTGCATTCATTGCAAAATTCATAGTGATAAAAGACTTCATACGAAGTTGGCTTTTCGGTATTTCTTTTCCAAATATAAAATATACAGTCATTACAACCAGAGATAAAGGCACCACCGGGCGAAATTTCCACTTTCATCTCAGGCTCAATTCCAGGCAAATTGATCATTACAGGACCATCAACATCTCTGACATCGAGAACTTTCACGGGTTTGAAGCGTCCGAGAGCCAAGCTGACAAAGCCTTCAGAAAAACCTACCTTTAAATCTAGGAAATGAGACCAGCCCTTTAGCCTGAATTCAGACAAGTCTTCCGGAAAGTCTTCAAACAAGTCTTCAGACGAGTCTTCAGACAAATCTGGGAGCTCAAACCAGCCCTCTTGCCTGAATTCAGACAAGTCGTCTAGCGCCACGTCCTGACTGTGAGTAAACACGATCTCTAAAATGTCATCTACCGGGTATCGCGTTAATTTGGGAATCCTGTTAAATTCACTAATCACAAACAAGAAATCTTCCGACCACCAGCATAAAAACCTTGACCTGCATTGACTGCTTTTGAAACGTTGTTCAACTTGGTTGGTATAGACATTCCATACGTTGATATATCCATCTGAGTTGCAGGATGCAAGTCGAGAGCCGTCAGGAGAAAACGAACTCGAATAAACTTTCGTTGGCTGTGACAGACAGGATTGCTCTTGTTTAGGAGCTAATGTCTTAAAGATAATTAGTTGATCATTATCTGAATAGAGCCACACATTATCTTTTAAAGTTGTATTTTATTTGCACAGAAAAAGCCAGGATTAGCAACAAGATGTTCCAAAGCGCAAATCGCAGTAAAAGGAATACTTTCTGTGTCACTCTAATAACAAAACTCTTCCGAAGAAAAAATACACTCCACACCTTTGCAGATCCACGGACCCGAAATCACATTATATTCAGTATAAATTTTCATTATTTCTAAGTGTTTAGAATTTGGTTCCTCAAATCCCCGCTGAAAACATCGTTCACATTTCCTACTCTTTAACACAACTCGTTTCTCCCTTTCCCCGTGAGATAATTTTCGCTTATCACTTCTTTGCAATGTGATGGCGTTCCAAACACAAAACGAATAACCCGGATAAGATGAAGATTCTGAATTTGCAATAATAAATAACCCTGTGACGCTAAAAGAACACCAACCAACAGGAAATCCAGCACAAAGCGACGACAGGAATTTTTGTTTAGCAACGTCCCATAGTTTAATGGTGTTTGAATACTTGCTAGTCACCAGTCTTTTGCCATTAGGGGAAAATGCACAGGACAAGAACGTTCCTTCATTTCCAGGGAAAAATGGAACTTCCTTTCTTCCAGCAATGTTAAACGCCGTTTCCAGTTTACCAAATAATATGAGGGAATCGTCTGGAGAAAATGTACAGCATGGAATTGTTTTTAAGTTTGTCGAATAACTCATAATTTCAACTAAAGTTGGTAGGGATAGCACATGGATAAAATTCTTTCTTACAACTGCTACTCTTTTCTCATCGTTAGATAAAGCAACAGCTGTAATACGATCAAAGTCACCGCGTTTCCAGACTGCTCGTGGCAAAAGCGAAACTTCGTAAGAATTCGACTTGACAAAAGGTGAATCGTTTGATAGTAGCGTCTCCGCGATTTTCTTCTCATCATCGCTGAAATAACCTTCTGGAGAATGTGTAAGAACCGCTTGTAAATACGATTGTGAAAATACTGTCGGAAAAGCTGAATAATTGTCATATTCCCACTGGTGTTTCAGGGCATGTTCCAAACAGTCAAATTCAATGACGTGGTACGAAATGCGGGGCGTAAATTTTCGTTTTTAATCCAGGAACATTTCAGTAATGTGAGCCAGAAACGCCGCAAATCATCTAAATTGATTACAGTTATCATATAACATACGATAATAACATCAATTGACCAAAACACAACTTCCTCCATTTTACACTTTATTAGATGTTTTAAACCATGTTTCAGAGCGTATTTCACGTCATTAGTAAACTTCACCTCAAGTCCTGAGCGAACACCTTTATCTTTAATTTCTTTAAAAACCTCTTCGCATAAAAGCCAAAGCGATCTATGTCCATCATCGACCTTGACAGTATACTGGTGATCTTTGTAGCCCTTTGCTAGAAGCCAATCAATAAAGGATTTGTGAAAAACGGTTAACATGTCATCTGAAACGTACAACAAGCACGATACGGTTTCATTAATTTTGTTGATGATGTCTTTCGTTTCGCGACAATCTGGAGCTAAACCAAAAGCCTGAGCGACGAAAGTGAGGGGAAGAGGTCCTTCGGAAGCAGCCAGCATTTCCAAAATTTTTAACACATCAAACTTTTCATGTTTTAAGGCGTTAATCTCGTCTTCAAGGCGTTTGAAATATTCTTCGTAAACAGAATGAAGACCTTCTGGGAGAAACGCCATGACGTCATTATTTGTTATCTTCTCAAGATCATAGCGAGCCTTTAGCCCAGATTGAAAATGATATGCATAGAGAAATGAGCCCTGGCATTTGGCAACAAAAATGGAAAGTAAACTAATAGTTCCATTTCGCCAAACGCGGTAAAGATATGGATCCTTATAGAAATCATGGCACATATCAACTTCCCTGCCAACTAAACTTGGAAAACATTCTTTAAAATAAAGTTCAAGATCTGAGTTATTGTTGTCATCAACATTGGCAATGTCTGTCTTTTGATCGTTTCTTAGTCTCAGATCAGCAACGGAAATCTCTGGCCTGCTCGTCACCAAGATTTTGATGTACTCGGGAAGAACAGGAAAATATTCAGCAATCAAATGCGTAATTTCATTCTTATTATCTGCAGCACTTTCATCCAAGCCATCGATCACGACTAAACGTGGCTCTTTTATTTCCAATTCATCTAAGGGATTTTGTAAATATATTTGAAAGGCATCTTTCAGATTTTGAACTTGACGAGGTCGTTTTAACTGATCAAGAAGCTTCTCTTTAAAACCAGGGATATTCTCACACATCTGACTTGCGAGAGACTGCAGCATCATCATCGGATCTCTTAGGTTTGAATCACTGAAATCGCAAAAGTGACAAGCAGCCAGCTTTCCATTCTTCTTAAAATCTTCACAGATTTTAGCGGCAAAAATGCTTTTACCAAATCCTGGTCCAGCTGTTATTAACTTTACTCTCGAATCGCTGTCACACTTTTGAAACCACTCGTTAATTTCCTCTAACAACCACTCTCTTGTTCTAGGAACAAAAAAATTGACTGTTCTTTTAATTTTACCTCTAAAATTATGCTTAGCAAGTTTTTGCAATAAGTCTTGATCACTTTCGCTGCGGGATTTTTTTTCAGGATTTGTGTCCTCGGGTATTGATAGCGTGCGCTTGAGGGAAGTTTGCGGGATCTCATTGTCACTTTTCTTCAACAAAGACTGGCACAGTAGATTTACTCTATCGCGGGTTTCTTCAACGATTTGTGTCACTGTTGCAAGCATTTTAATACACTCATCTTCGTGCAGTTTCCAATCTTTAAGCTTTTGCACATACACTTCTTCTTCAGGCCCTAGAGGACATTTTTCTAAATCGTCGACTTCACTCTGCGAAATTCCTAAATCCACCAATATCTGGGATATTTTCTTCCATAAAGACTCAAATGTTGAATTGTGAACTCGAGTGGATGTTACATGTGCGTAGACTTCATTTCTGTAACACTTGATTCTTGTGATATTTGCTTGCATTGACCTATCAGCATCCGGAGGCATTACACTCCATCCTGTTGATGGAAAACCACAAATGTTCCGCAATAGAACTGTAAGTAATGTGATATCAAAGGTTTTGGAATCTTGTGGGTTGCCAGACGGAGGAAACAGTAAATCCCACTGGGAATTATTAATAACTCGAGGTTTTAACTTTTGAAGAGATGTTTTGTTTGCAGCCAGTACTCCGGGTTGACTAACAGGTGGATGGATGGTATCAAATGTATTTCTCAAAGCCTCAGTTCCTTTGTCAACTAAAAGTTTACTGAATCTTATAAAATTTGCGCTTTCTTGCAGATCGACAGAAGCCATGGTAATAGACATTGCGAATTACTGTAAAAAAATGGTTGCATTAATTATATAGGCTACACCGAGAAAAAGAATGGGATGGAGTAGATTTTCACATATTTTATGACATTCTGCATGTCATAAAAGAAAGTCGCAAGGATCTTGTTAATTGAAGGGATTTCCTGTTAAAATAATTTCGTGAAAAGATATTCGTTTCAGGAGTAACGTTTCTTACTTACTACCACCCATATGACAAACTCACATGAACTTAATTTTAGAATTTCCATAAACATTCCGTTTGTATTATTTGTGTGCGGAAATGAGATTTTTCTCGACATTGTAAATTTTGAAAGCCTGTTCTCATTTATAGACATGGTATGATCTGAATGTATTTTGATGTCAAATAATTTATGAAAATATCTCGTGTATTTATAGGATCTATTGCTACTCGACTTTTTCATTTCCGATTGTAAACTGTCGTTCAAGTCTTTTATAAACTCCATTTAGTTTGAAAGAAAATTTTGAAAAGCTGTTTCAGCCGACTCTTGATAATTTATTTTTACAAACAATACTTCATCCCATAAAACACCTGTCATTTCAGACTAGTGGCTGTGCCTCCTCAGCATGTGACATGTGAAGCTGGATTATATATTTTCGCAAGTCTTTACAGGACTCTTACGCGCTCAGGGAGTCTATTAAAATAAAACTGTATTGATCGATCCTTACGGCTGTATTTTGAAAGATTACTCACACTAACACTTGAGTGCCATTCCAGTCAGGTGTACTCAAGAAGAGTTGAAGTGTAAGCATGAGTGGAGTGTGAGTGATATGTTCTGCTCATTGAGGTAACACTCATCCTGGACAAATGTTGTTCAATTTGCATTCACTGAGGTCACTCAAGTATAACTTATATGAGTCGCACTCGCCTTTGTTATCAAAATCAGTAAAGTGTAGCTTACTTTAGTGCAGACAGGATACTGCATAACCAATACATGCAGGCAAGATGCCCCAAATAAGATTTAGAGAAGTCGCTTATAACAGAATTAGTTGCGAAGCATAAGGATGTCCTTGAGAACAAAAGGAACGATTACAAAAGTATACAGCAAAAAAATAAGCCTGGGTAACTCTGACAGAAGAGTTTAACAGTCAGGCTGGTGTCCAGAGACATGCCTTGGATGTCACCACGCTCAAACTGAGCGCACAAGCGACTGTTATCAAATATTCTCGAGTCGTGCACACTGCCTTGGACACCGCACAACGATGTTCTGTATTTCTAGATTTGGCCCAGAAACTGCTTGAACATTCAGTTCCGATTTCTAAACAATTCTGCGTTTTCTCATCCTGTGATATGTCACATAGGTCCCACATGCTTCTTGAAACGTGCCAGTTGCGTATTAACGTAAAGTGAATAAAAGCTTAATTTCTGCAGGAATTGGATTCCCTCGTTCGTTATGAGCAGATATATCTGCCTCTATAATGTCAAACATCTCCCGAAAACCATCCTTAGTTAATCTAAATCTGCTTCTAAATTGTTCTTCATCATAAATTTCTTAGTTGAAATAGTAATTTCTGCAAATTGTCCAATTGTTGCAATCTTTCAAGCCATAGATTCGCCATGTTGTTTATCACAACTTTGTGTGAGTGTGGTTCAAGGGAAGTATGACCTACACTAATACTCCACTGAAACTCGGCCTCTACTTCGAGAGTGAGTGCCGTTTGCATGTGAATGGTCCGAGGGCAAGTGTAACTTTTCACTCATTGAGAGTGAAAGAATACTCAGTGAGTACAGAATTGCACTTTCGAGTAATGAACCTCTGCTCATTGAGTGTGAGTGTGAGTAAGCTTTTAGAATACAGGCGTTAGTCTCAGAAAAACTAATCATCCTTATTTGCTGTTTAGTGTTTGATTATTGTCAGGAAATTTTATTTCTCAGGTTTCAGCCTCTGAGCCTCGCAATCGCGTTATCAATTATTTCTATATTGCATGGTCTCAATACAATACAATAGACACTCATACTGTTAATATTCGAAGAACGTAATGACGTCACAGCTCTGTACTATGCCACTCAATACAATACAATAGACACTCATACTGTTAATATTCGAAGAACGTAATGACGTCACAGCTCTCTAGCTACTATGCCACTCAATAGAATACAATAGACACTCATACTGTTAATATTCGAAAAACGTAACCAACACTGACACAAACGTACCTTCTCAAATCTTCAAACGATGATTCCACTACATGGTCCGGCAAAATTCTCAGGAAGGATAACGGACAGATGGACTGAAATGTAGATTTAAAACCTAGAAAGAACAAATTCTGATTGTAACTTTAACACACCCAATTAGCGGCTAGAATCTCATGTGAGTGTCACGTGGGATGCGTATTTATAATGGTAATTGCACTGAGTGGAGTGCTGATGCGTCATTACAAAAATCGCATGACCATGAAGCGGGAGACCATATTTATATTTCAGATCGTATACAAACCCTCAATTTTGTTTGATATAATTAATATTATCACTACTGTTTACTAAAATCACTTCGCAGAAATACATATGATTTTCGCAAATAAATAAAAAGTAGGTTTGTATACGATATTGATTTTTAATGTTGTAAGTTTCTCGATGTTTCGGAGATATATATAATATAACGTGGAAAACCCACTCATCTCATTATTTCTCGGAAAATTTTATACCCGGAAATAGTATAACAAACAAATGCGCGGAAATGAAGACTTGAATCCTAGGAGGAAAAACTTTGTAATTCTCAATGTAATTCATTGTAAAAAATGGTCGATTACAGTATAAAAAATAAATATTTCGTTTCTGGGAATATTGAATTAGTTAATCCCGAAGTATAAATCCCACATCTTAAACTCTTCAATTGCAACCGTCTATACACAGAATAGATTCAGGGTCTTTGGTATAAATAAAATGAGTGGCGATAACCTGAAATATAGTAGGTTTAAAGAAATGAGGAATGTTTTTCCAGTATCAGTATCACACAAGACCACAACGCGACGAAGCGCTGTGCAGTGCCAGGTATTTAATAATGCAAGTTTATTCAATACGACGCCACAGCACTGTTCCGCACCTACATGCACATACAACCAACCATGTCTACTTTACCGTGTTGTTGATAAATCATTTATAATCACAAATTTAGAATTTGATCATCTACATGGGCAAAACCATATGCAGAAGAATATGTCGAACATAAACAAAATAAGTAGTACAAAGTGGGGGGGGGGTTCTGCCCCATTTACTTTTTTCTCAATTTCTTTCAACATTTTTCCAACATTTCTTTTAACATTATCGAAAAATAATAAACCACCAAAAAGTATTTAAAGGGAAAATGTATATGACAAAAAAGATGTTAACTGATATTAAAACTTTTGACCTGAGCGATATCATAACGTGGGGAGTGGAATACGACGAGAGGTACAATAAGTACAAGAACCCCATAGTTGTCCCCAACGATATTAGATCTGTGATCGAGGACATTCGATGAGAGACCAACGCGAAGAGTCCGTTCTACAACGACGTCGTCTACCTAAGCGCTAGGGACTTGTCGAGCAAACAGAGGAAAGATCTTCTCGACAAAGGGAGAAAAATGATTAATATTTTCATAGATCCATCACGGGGACTTATTCGGGAAGCCTATGCTTCAAAGTCCTCGGTCTAAAATACCTTGGCGAGGTGGAGGAGATACCCATCCCAGATGATTGGTAAAGTTTATTTTCAATATTTTGAAACTAGACTTAAATTCTCCATTGACCAATAGCCATCGTACAAATTCCATCTTCCATGATCATTCTTTTGTCGTCATCGGCTGACAACGCTATCTTGTTTACCCGTTCCGTGTAGATCTCGTGCTTTCTGCTTCTGAAGGTGTTCATGGATTTATACAAATCCCCCGAGGAGTTTAGACATTCGAGGTAGTCGTTGCACTTTATCTCGTTCTTGACGACACCTTTCTTTACTCCTCTACAATTCTTCTCCTCGGATTCTTCATTCATCTTGTAAGCATACAGCTTATACTTCTCAACCCGACAAATTCTGTTATTTGTTTACCACCAGCTTCGTCCTTCATCATACCGATGATCTTTTTGTTCTTTCCTGTTGGTATTCCGGAGGCATGATCCTTCGGGTAGTTGCTTGTGTCGAAGTGTTTGTCGACGTCACCTACAATGTCTTTGTAGAAGTCTTCTGTTTTAATTTCATAGCACAGCGAGTCCGTGTCGGTGAACAGAAGCTTCGATGACTTGCCGGGGTACTTTACTTTCATGTAATTGTAGTGGAAGTCGTACGTTAAGGTCTTACTGAGATTTAGGATGCTCATGCCCAGGGGTGCTTACCATTTACCCTAAAAAACCGGAAATTCCGGTCGGAAAAACAAATGGTATGAGTAATTCCAATCGGAAATTTCCGGAAAACTTGGTCGTCCGAAGGAGTTAATCCACTTTTCCCGTTTTTCCCAGTTTTTCCGGTTGGTTTGTGTACCATCTTGCCGGAATTAAAATTCCCGCTCTTTGTTTATTCAAGATGGCGAGCGAAAACATTCCTGAAGGTAAGTTTTGAAGACTTTATTTTTATTTAGATTTATTTTGGCATCTCTTAGCACCTTTAAATTATAGCAAGAACAACTATAACTATACTTTAACAATAAATATTTAACTACAGTTTAAACTATAACTTATTTTGTTTTTACAAACGATAGTTGCATTTCTAGGAGTGACGTTCTCTATTTTCAAAGCGTAGCAGTTTTGTATTAATTTGCTTGTCTGCAAGCAGGCTAGAAAAAAGTAGTCTGACGATTCTTAAAAGTATTTTTAAACCTTTATGAAATTATTCAAATTTAATAGGTTAGCTTACTGGAGCTTAAGTTTCCTTTGTTTTACATTTTATGGCAGATTAAGTAGCTAGCCAAGGCATATCTAACCTAAGCCATTACAGTAAAAACACTATTTCTGTCTTCTATTACTCTTCAAGATCCTTCGAAAAGTCTTGACCGATGGGAAGAGCGTTATGTTCGGTTGTTAATATGTTGCTGGAAAACAAACAAGGCCTCGTTTGGTAATGGCAAAACAACAAAAAAAGAAATCTTCCAAAAGATTGCAAATGAATTCAATGCCCTATCGGACATAACAGTGACAGGGGACCAATGCCTTCGAAAATGGACAAAACTAACCGCTAAACACAAAGAAGTTGTCGACCACAATAACAAGAGCGGAAATGACAAAAAGAAGTGGAAATATCAAGATGCCATTGAAGAATGTATTGGGGAAAATCCCAGTGTTAATCCAACCTTCACCCTTGAATCTTCCTCATCGTCAAAAGATATCCAAGGTGAAGAAGAAAGTGATGACTCTGATGATGAAAATGTAGTAACACCACAAAATAAGAGGAGGCCGGGAAAAAGAGAAAGAATAAGTCATCAGCAGCAGAGATGTTAAGGTTCCTCAAGGAGTATCAGGAGAAAAAGGAAGAAGTAGAATCCAAAAAGGATATGAATGAAGAGAAAAAGGAATTTTGGAGTAGTTTGCTTGAAGTAATGAAATCAAAAGAAAAATATAAAATGTTTGTTTTATTACAATGCACATTTAAAGAGTATAATTTATTTGTTAATTACAATTGTTGAAGTTTTCAGGGTACTGCACCCTTGTTACGTTTTAAAATTACTGTATTGTTAAACTGTTAAATGAGTTCTCATTAAATTATTTCAAAATTTTTGTTGCTGAAATTAACTTTACAATTATTTGAAAGCCAACTTTAATCAAAGACTTCTTAAAACTGCTTGAATTTATTTACAACCATTAAAATTGCATTCATTAAATTATATTTTTTTACTCAGGAATTGATATTCTTAGATATCTAATATTATTCACTCCTTTCTGATGAAATGAATATTTAAAGTCATCGAGCAACAATTTTTACTAAATGCTGACGTTTTTGTTCAGCTGGCCTGTCTCCATCTTCAAGACCAACAGCATTGTTATCATCATCATTGTCAATATCATCAGTTTCGTCATCCAGAAAGTAAATGTTGTCAAAATCATCATTCACAAGACACAAATTATGAAGCACACAGGCCCCCATTATGATTTCAACCATAAGCTTGACAGCAAGATGATCAAGATATTTTAGCTTTCTCCACCTCCCCTTCAACAGACTGACTGCACGTTCTACTATCTGTCTGTTTGATGACAAAACCCTGTTGAAGTTGACTTGATTTAGTGGCAGATGTCCATTATTGCGGAAGGGAACCATAAGCCATCTGCAAATTAAGATAGTAATTTATATGACTGACTAATCAGGGGGCAGCATTTTTGAACTAACTAAAGTCATTAAGTTGGGTGCAAAATAAAATCATATACCTTCTAAGTGGATAGCCTCCATCACCTAGCAGGTGATAATCATGAGGGAATTTGTCAGCTGCTGTTGCACATAGAGAAGAATTTCTTAAAACTCTGGAGTCATGAACTGATCCTGGCCAGCCTGCTAAAACATCTGTCAATACCATGTTGTTGTCACACACCATCTGATGAGAAATAAACACCTGTTAGTTTATTTCCTTGTAAAAATTTCAGTATTTTGAGAATAAGATACCAGTAATCCATTCCTAATTATTAATAATATTAGCAAAAATGGGCTAAAACAGTAACACATGTCAAATTCATCAGCATTGCATAATAAGTTACATCAACTTATTGATGCAATGCAATTGTATTTTTCTATTTACAAGGCTTAGCTTGTACAGTACTATGTACCTGCAACTGGAGAGCATGGAACTTCTTTCTGCAGTTATATGCCTCTGGATTCATACGACACCGCAGAAATTGGTGCTTAAGACGTTTCAACCCGAAAATCTAATCGCTGGTTCACAATTGTGCATTTCTGTATCGCCCTATCAAAGAGAAACCTTTTGAATATCTTAAAAAAGTTCAATTTTTCTTCTGAATACGCATTCTGCAATCTTTTGACAGCTCATCATACACATCTGACCGCTGTGAAATGGCCATTTTGAGGCTTAAAGTATACACAAGGTTATTAATTCAGACGATTCGTTTGTACCGTGAGCAAGCTTCAAATCTTTTGTGCAAGACATATTTTCTTGAATATTTATAAATCTTTTTCCTCACCAAGTTTGAAGTCTAAGTATCGAGAATTGCGGCTAAGCCTATACCAATTTCCGCGGTGTCGATTCATACTTGGTGCCCTTATTCTAATAAATGTACCATCAATCACACCTGCATATCATAAATAATAATATCAGAGAGAACAGTGTTTAGTAGAAAATTACTACAATAGAACCCAAGTACAGTCACCAATGGGTAGAAAAAAATCTGGCTGTATTAACGGGATAACCATATTAACGAGAAAAATTTATTAACACCGTTATGCAAGAAATTTGCATATTATCTATTATGTCAAGTTTACAGTCATAGAAAAATACTGTGGGGTATATGGCTGCAGTGTATTGGTTGATAGATGATGGGCATAGAACAAGAATGATAATAGTTGTATGTATGTATGTAAAACTTTATTTAAAGACACTACCCCGACAACAATAAGTTGATTTCCACGGGGGGCGTCTACAAGATTAAAAATTACAAAAATGTAGGAAATATAGACAATCTTGTTTATTTGAAATACATTTACTTATCAAAAAATTTGGAAACTCTCCACCACTAATATGATTTTTTCCCACTCAAGGTTTCGGTAAAGACTTCAAATGAGCCAATACCTTTGTAGGAAATCCTGGCTAATGAAAACATGTTCTTGATCTCATATTCAGACTGATTCAGTGGTTGTTTAAATGCTTACAAATTCAACTATTTGTACTGAAGCTGTGTGATAAGTCCTAACCACTAACCTATTACTCCAGGCATGCCTCCTTCCTCAAAATGTTCAGCTATATCTCTCATCTCAGTCACTGAATGAATAATAAATTAGCAGTTAATATTAATAATGAAAAAGATACGATAATAATGTTTTACTTGAATAATTCCCATTCCACAATAACACAATATTCATAAGTTAATAACACAATATTTATAATATCGTAATTAGTTAGAAGTATTACCGTTTGGCCATTTTATGTACTGTTGTCGTAAGGACAGTAACGCTGACGTTACGCGACGAAGTACTCTGCCACAACTGCTCAATGTTATGTCAAATCGGTCGGCTACCTGTCGCGTTGTTTCTCTTCCGTTGGCCATCATCCACAGGTAAACTAAAACCTGCTTTTCTGCAGGAATTGCAATTCTCCCAAAGTTATTCCTATTTCTAACTTGACCAGTAGCGACAACTTCTCTGCCGAGTCTTTCAGCTGTAGTGCGTGAAAGCCTAAAATGACCTTGAAATTCATCGGCAAAATACATTGGTACGGTAACTTCAAAGAAGTTTCGACTCCGGTTAAGATTCCTCCTCATGAAAGTAGAGACCATTCCAAACAATTCAATGTCGTCGTCGTCGTCTTCTAGCTCTTCTTCGTCCGCTAAAGCGATGGCAAGTATAAACAACAAATGATCGGCCATGATTGTTTACAATGATGTTCACCGCTGAATTTTGCTTTTGACGGCTCAAAAAGCGGTGGTTCTTGCTAGAAGGTTCATCTTCCATTCCATCTGGTTCTTCCGATGGGAAAATCACGTACCATTTGCAAACAATTTATCAACCAGAAAGATTGGTCTAAATGGTAAGCACCCCAGGTATATTGGTTACCCCAGTTCCACGATTGTTTTTTTTTCATATGAACTGCTACTAGGTTTTTCGAGAAGATGACCGGTCGATCGAAATTAGGTTTTTTCACCAGCTACTTCAACCGATCCTCGCGTGTCACGAGCTTCACATCGATCCTGTTCCTTTTATTTTGCATAGTCTTCCCGAACACAGAGTTGTTCATTAACTTAAAAGTCTTTTTCGAACTCTGTGGGGCCTTTTGTTCGCAGATCCGTGTTAAGTTGGATGTGATCTTTTAACCAAGATCTTTCTGCGAACTTTAGAACTTTGTGTATCTTGTTGATCTTTAGTCCCAGACTTTCGTATAGTTTTAGACTTGCATGATGAACAACGTAGTTCTTTTTATCACGTAAGTTCGGAATGAGTTTTTCTACCTTATTCATTTTAAGTCATTCGGAAGCAAGTGGATACTCGTTGTGGTGGTCGTGGAGATCTTTTGAGTATTCCAGATCCACTTCGAGTATACAACCCACACCTGGTGTGTTGCTAATATCCCTCCAGTTTTTAAATACTTTTTCGGCAACCCATTGAAATTTCTCAGTTGGTAATGGGTGACTCATTGCCCAACCATATAAGTTGTTAGCGTCTAGATATGCAATGAAAGTATTATCCACCTCGGGGTTATAGTTCTTCATGTACTTATTGTTGGCTTTGGCATGTCTGTGGGTGATCGTGCTAATTCCCCCTCGAATGTCTCTTTCCACCATCTCGCACATGATGGGGTCTGTAAGCAGATCAAGCCGCACCTTTGATATTTTGAGTGCAGATTCGCATGCGAGACCCAGAGCCGTGTAATACCACAGAGGATCCAACCCATAGTTTTTATGACAGATTATGCGATAGTTCTCCATCACATCGGCGAGCAGCATTACATCTGTCTGGAGATACAGATCGTGGTAGTTCCTAATTGTCTTACAGCCTAAGGTTTTTGAAACGTTCTGAGCGTGTTCGTATTCCTTTTCGCTTATACCTTTTCTGTTTTACTTGCTGTAGAACATTTCCATTGATGGTAACTCAGTCTCTTCGAGCCTTTCGAAATATTCGTACAGGGAGACACCCTTCTTCTTAAGAAGTTCGTGCACACCCATTTCACGCTCCAGTATTGGGAATTCCTTCAGGCTCTTAACAAGACCGTCCAAAGATTTTAGTGTAAATTTTAGAGAGTCTAGAAACCTAATTTCCAGAGGTTTTTCGTTCTCATTATACTTCTTCATTTTACTGAACGAGATGTACTTCTCATCAGTTTTTGGAATACACTTGATGTCTCCCTCCGCTATTCCCAGACTCTTCACGAATAAGTGGCTATCATACCCTTCTAGGTTGTGAAACAAGACGGGTACGAATCTTGGTGTCTTCATTCTAAGATTGCATTTGTTATGAGCCGCCCCACGGTATCCTCCTGTAATATGACAGTGATCTCTGACGCGATCATTGCCTAAAGAAGTTTAAGCATCGCAGGCAAATATGTTTGGCAACTTTCTTCTTGCTTAGTTGCGATGACACAAGTCGGGAGATTTCTTTAACCACAGTGTAGTGTTCATCGTAATAGAATAGGTTCACGATGTTATTATAAACCTCGCACAATCCCATTGTATACACATTTCTCCCTTCGTAGCTAAACACATTAACTCCGATGTTTGTCTCTTCGAAGACTTGAATGTCTTTAATCTTTGTTAGAAACTTGAGATCAGACCAATCTAAGTCATCGGATTGTTGTTTTAAGACTTTTGTAATTCTTCGTGGATTTTTGTTCTCACGACCGACAGGGTTTAAAGCCCTTGTGACATCCCACTTCATTTTTCATGTTAATAACCGCTTTTTTTACTTTTATGGTTTCAGGCAGCGGTTGGTAACTACTTCCGCTTAGCGGTGTGAATTTTGTAATGAAGACTTCTAATCTCTTAACAGCACTAATTCTCCAACCACTTTCCAACTTTTGAAATTTCGCAAAGGATTCTAACATTTTTTCCTTCATGATGGCGTATTTCTCGAGATCTTCTTCAGAGATGAAGCTTTGTGATCCGCTGTTGAATCCTGATAATGTATACTCCGTCTCTCCTGTTGATTGGTTTGTTCTTGCCATCTCACATCCAAGAATTGTGTGAACTTTTTCCCCAACACTATTTGTTTGCTTAATAAGGTTAAGTACATTTTGAGTAGATGCTTCAAGGAACACTTTCGGATCCTTAAATCCTTGGCCATTTATACGCCATTTTGTGATGTTTTTTCTAATGGCGTTTGAGACTAGAACCAGTGAACTCTATATATATGGAAGGTTCGCTCCAGTTCAAAGTGTGAAGCCAAACATGGCGGATCATGAAGGCTGCTTGGGTACCGAACCAGTCCTCCACGAAGCGTAAAATGCGCGAACCACGCGTGGAAATTAAAATCACGAATTATAAAACTATGACCAAAAATAAAAAAGCTAACATTTCGGACGTTACAAAGTTTAAAAATACGAAGTTTTTAAAAGTGAATACATACAATTTGTTACAACCTTACCTGGCAATGTTATTCTTTCTAGAGAGGTAACTTATACCGTATATTTGTGTTGTGTTTACAAAACTCTCGCTCTTTGTTTTCGCGAGCCCTTTCAGCTTCAAACTTTGCGACGCGTTTGTCAATGGCAGCTTGGTCTTTCTTCCTTTGTGCAATCACCTTTTTACGTTCTTTCTTCCGCTTGGCTTGTGCTTTTTGCTGATCTTTATCAGCTTTTGCCTTCGTGAACTCGAGTCTTTTCTCGAGATCAGCCATAGCATTTTTGTGTTCTTCGTATGTTAATAAAGGCGTAGTATCCCTCATTTATTTAGGTATTATAATATACCCATTTTTCTTTAAATACGATTAGATGACGCCACGCACGAACTGAAATATGAAATAATCATATTTGAGTTATTGCTTGTTTATCTCTTCTTTCTTTTTTCTTAAATACAACGCGTCCAATGCTTTGTTTGTGGCATCAGATAATTCTTGTCTTAGTTTGGATATTTTATCTTTTTTCGCTACCTGGTTTTCATATTTCTTGTGATACCGTCAATTTTTACATGGCAAGGTTGTGTCTTTTCATTTCTTTTTCGTAACCTTAAAATAAAATAGGAGCATAATGGGAGCATTAAATATCCCACTTGCTGCTACTGATGTCAATAATTTTAATT